TTTGTATCAGTAGCCTTGGAATTACACTGCATCATATATACATCGTGGTATATTTGCTCTAATATTTGCTGGTTACTTTATGCTTTACCAACAGATGTGATCCTGAGTGGCCTTTCTGCAGTACTGACCAATAATGAAGTTAAGGAAGGCTCTGGTAACCAGCTGAGACTTCTCGTTCGGGCCACACCAGGCAGGGATTCGAAGGGTGTGGCCGGTTCAGGGCTGTGGCAGCTGTCTGCCTACGTGACCCCTGACCCTTCGTTAGATACAAAGCTAGCCCTGCAGAGGCAGACTCTTACTCAGCCTCAGGAAGATCTTACTCTCCGACCTAGACAGATCCTCGACTTTGGCAGCGTGGAGTACAAGCATGACCTAATCAATGTTCTGTGCAGTCAGGCACACTACTTGTGTGTCGAGCTCAGCAAAGGAGCCTCACCAAGTGCGACTTTTAACCTCCTGACCGTGCCAGAGGGGAACTCCTTGAAGGCTTGCAATCCTTTGCAGTGCAAAGGCGTGAGAGTAGACCGTATCGACTGGTCCTATGAAGCCAGTAATATCATTCCAGGCCAGCAGACCCCATTCTCCATACAGGCGAGCATTTCTACGACTGATGACACCCGTGACCTCAGTGGCAAAAATCTGTGGCGGCTCGGCCTCTTTGGAAGCAGGAACCCAGATGGTTCTGGAGAGAGGCACGACTATGTCAGACAAACACTGAACCGCGATCAGTCCAGCACTGGAATATCATCCGGAGCCAATCTAGACTTGACTGACATTAACACACAGTTTGACGCAGGAACAGTTGGATGCACTGACTACCATTATGTGTGTTTAGAGTTTGCAAAAAGTGATGCAGCTGATCCGGATTTTACCTTCAGTGTGACAGACCACAGAAGTGATGCAGGTGCTGAAGGAATGGTGTCCTGCAAGAAAGCACCCTGCAAAGCTAGTGAGTCCCAACTTTTTTCTCTTTTCCAACCAACTGTATCATTTTTGATGATAACAGTCGACTGTGGTTATCACGGAAAGTCTCGTTGCAGACTTTCGAAAATGGTTAAATGCTAAACATTTTATTTCTTTTTGCAAAGGAGCGGAGTTCATCAACCTGAATGCAGCATTTACAGATGACAACCCAATCTTTGAAGACAGTCCAGACAATGAGGTCGGCATGTCTGTCCTCGCTCTTGCCAGTCTCCAGAGCAGTGCCATCATGGGGAAAAACCTGTGGACACTGAAGTCCTACCTTTCCTCAAATGAAGAAGGTAGAGGCCGGCAGTATGCTGTCCAAGAGCAGGTCCTCACTTCACCAGAGGAGCGTAATGAACCACTGGAGCCAGCCGGTGATCTGAGCTGGATGGATCTAAGGGTGCCACTGGATATGTCAGGACTTGAGTGTTCCAAGACACCATATGTATGCTTAACACTAGAAAAGAATGATGATTCAACAATGGACTTCACAGTGGTTGGAATTCCAAATGAAGATGTATTGACTGATTGTGTGGACATATCAAGCAGATGTGAAGGTAACAGTTGCTTTTGTTTTTTCATTGGAAGCAGTTTTATTTCGAAATCTTAAACAGTTAAATTTTGGTAATCAATTTCAGCAGATTGCCAATAAACCTAGTAAAATTATCCTCTAAGAAGAGAGTACAGTGCTACACAACACCTGTCAAAACTTCCACGTTAGGCTATTTTTGAAAGTCGAGCATCCCATTTCAATTAACTGTTCCATTTCTCTGACACCAGGGGTGGTGGCCACGGAGCTGGAATGGAACCATGAGGTGGGAGACTACATAGCTGGCCAGCCAGCCATGGTGAGCCTTGACGTGACCGTGGAAACTACAGAGAAAAGCCGGGACGTGGACGGCCTGCGGCTATGGCGCCTTGGCCTGTTTGGCAGCAGGCAAGCTGACGGAGGCGGCCAGCGGCTGGCTAGCATGGATCAGATTCTGGACCCCTACCGGCAAGCCAAGGAGCTGACTGGTGGCTCCCCCTTACAATTCACTGACGTCCCAGTGAGCTTTGATCTGGGCCAGCTGGGCTGTTCTGACTTCCAGTTTTTGTGCTTGGAGTTTGACAAGGTGGAATCAGCCCAGCCTGATTTTGCCTTCAAGGTTCAGTCAGGAGAGGACACACTAGTGTCTTGTAAACCTCAACCTTGTAGGGGTAAGAGATATGTTTATGATAAGCTGCATTTGTCTGAAAGATTTAAAGGGGAAAAAATGGTTTAAAATGTGGTTTATTTTCTGTTTTGTTAGTTCAGTGTTGTTTTAAGGATAGATGTTAAGTAAGATCCATTGGTTAATCGCATATATATATGGGATTGTTTAATCTGTCAGGAGTGTATCTAACTAGGTTGACCAGCACACCAGGTGTCATTGAACTCAGAGAAGGTAGCCCAACAAACACGATTGAGTTTTCATCCGAGGCCACCAGCTCACCTTTGGGTGGGGGTGTCCAGGGATTTAATCTGTGGCGCATGGCCGTCTTTGGAAGTAGCCAGCCCACCGGTGAGGGCCCGCGCTACGGCTTCCAATCCCAAGTCCTGGCAGGTTACCATGGAAGTTTGCCTCTCTCTCACGCTGGAGACCCCATTGACTTCCAGTCCATCAGGGTGGACTTTGATATGACAGGGGTCAGGTGCACCAACATGAAACATTTTTGTACTGAGCTGAGTAAGGACCCGGCATCCTCCCCAGACTTCCAGCTAATGGCCGTACCAAATGATGAAGTCTTGACCAGCTGCTTTCCCATACCAGCACGAGCATGCACAGGTGATGAATCTAGTTTAGTTACATTTGAATGCCGATTAAGTCTTTATGGAAATCCTAATTGATCTCCACTGCCTCATTCAGATATGCAGCATATGTGGAATTTGTTTTCACTGCGTTGTTGGTGTCTTTTACGTAGGTCTGGTTTTGAGCAGCATGGACTGGACCATGGAAAGTGGCAAGCTGACTAACGACCAAAACCAAGATTTCTCCCTCAACGTCCGTGTGGACTCACTGCCGGGCGGTGCACAAGTCTCGGGCAACCGGCTCTGGCGTGTCGGCATCTTTGGTAGTCGAAATGAGGATGGCACAGGTGACAGGCTCGGCTACCGGGCTCAGATCTTGGACAGGAGAACAGCCTCTGCCAGTCTCACACCAGGCTCCTACCTGCAAATGAGTGACGTACAAGCCGAGTTCGATTTCAGCCGTCTCGGTTGCGATTTGGAATACCAGTACTTCTGTGTGGAGTTTGCCAAAGGGATAAGGGCATACCCTGACTTCAATATGAGAGTGGAAGGTCAGAGGTCAAATGCACTGGTGGACTGTAAGATGGTTGAGTGCAAAAAACGTAAGTGCATGAATGTTGTCAACTTACACCTTTCCTTACGGTACAAAGTCATAATTGGAACATGTATTTTAGAGAATCTTAAAGCATGTTACGGGTGGCAATGCATTGTTTCATCAGGTGTCATTTCCTAGCAAATTCCTAGGATGCGGAATATTTGGGTTGTAACAATTAAATTTTCATTTTATTTTTCTCCAACAGCTGTCAAAATTGGAGGAATACAAACCCAGGTTGTTGGAACCAATGCACACTTGGTAGAGGGCAACCGCTATAATCGTGTCATGTTCACGCTCATTGCGGCCACTACCCCAGACAGTGGTTCTGTGGAAGGCAACAGGCTGTGGGCACTAACACTATTTGGCAGTGAGAACCCAACAGGCACGGGCACCCAACTTAACCCCCAGCGGCTGTATACCTTTTCCCGGTACCAAGAGGGGAAAGCTGCAGTCGGAGGTCAGCCTGTCATGTTTGGCTACGTGGACATTAATTATGACATGACGGGATTAGCGTGTGCTGATGTCAGATTCATTTGCGCCAGGCTGAGGAAACATGACAATCCAAGCCCTGACTTTGACCTGGTGGCCGTTCCTGACCAAAGTGTTCTAACTGATTGTTTTCAAGTAAAATGTGATGGTAAGGAAAAGATATATCAGTCATTTTTCGAAACATGAACAACTTAAAAAAAAAAAAGAGTTTAAATTAGGAGATGATATCTTTAAAATTTGAATTGAAATCAAACTTACAGATATTTTGCTTATTTTTGTGATATATTCAGGCGTCATTATTGAGGGTACACGTTTAGAACTATCTGGACCCAGTGAATTGGATGTTGGTCTTAATGATCTTAACTTTGATGTGACTGTGGTATCCAGTGGCAATGGTGCCGAGGTCAGTGGAAACAACCTATGGCGGGTGGAATTATTCACTGCCAAGAACAGGCAGGGAACAGAGGAGAAGAACATCCTTGATACCCAGACACTGTCGCCCGAGATGGCTAGCCGGGACCTACGAGCGGGCTCCATCCTGACGTTCAGAAACCTAGCCGCCCAGGTGGATCGCGACCAGATCCTCTGCCAGGAGGACAACTATCTCTGTGTCAACCTGCATAAGGCAAACCGGCCCTCGCGAGAGTTTACCCTGGAGGGGGCCTCGCCAGAGGCCCTGGTCCACTGCCGCAAAGTTAGCTGCGCAAAAAAACGTTAGTTTGTGGCATAGGATCAGAGCAGCTACACTTCGTGGCTCAGCTGGATCTAAATGCCTACTTGGTTGTCTAAACATTGAGCAATGTGGTGAAAGTATGGTTGTGTGATAGCAGTGAACTAACAGTGTCACATGGTGGCTGAATGCAAGATATTTGTGAGACAGAAGATTTTTTTGCCCCAAATTTCACCGTACTCCTGCTTTATTTGTCGAATTCTGCATGTATTTGTGTGTCCTCCCATGTTCATGTGAAATATCATGCCCTGAATCCTATTCTCTTCAAGATAAAAAAGATACCCAGCCCCTCCTTGAGATGAACAAAAGAAATTGGAAGCCAGAGTCTTGGAAGAGCTTTCCTCTTCTCTGTAGTTTATTCTGTTCTCAAATTGAACATTCTTTGTATTTCCGTTTCCGATTTCCCCTCTCCTGTTGGTGCTTTTTTACCTCACTTCTACTGTCTGCAGCTCCCAGTAAGTTGGTAAGTCTCTCGCCTAAATACTGTCTTAATTTATCATGCTGAAAATAGTTGGATAAAAAGATTCAGGAAAACTAACATCCTTTTGCTTTCGCACATAATGTGAAATATCAAATCTTTCCCTAATCTTTCTGTTCTTTTTGTCCAGAAATTGTGAGCAAAAATTAGGGTTGCATTTCCATGGTAAAACACAAACTGTTATGTGTAATTTTATTCCTTGGATAACTAATCTCTCTTTTTTTCCCCCCTTTTTACCACTGTTGATAGGTTGGACAGAAGGGAGACCGGGGACAGAAGGGTGAGCCCGGTGCCCCCTTCGTGGCTGGCAGTGGGGTGAGTTAAAATATGCAAAGAAACTTCAATTTGTAATGAACTTTTATTCCTCAGGATCGTGAAAGGATTTTTTTGACCTCACTTTCATTTCAAGATGGCTGACACATGAATTTGGTCTGTGCATTTGTCTGATAGAACTTTAATTTAAATTATTTCTTTTCTTAATAGATCGGCGGAGGTATCACCGGGCCTCCCGGAGCACCAGGACCCCGTGGTCCAACTGTAAGCTTTAGTACTTTAATAGTGTATACATGTACATTATAGAAACAATACAAAGACAATTTACTGTAGTTTTGATAAGCTTTTGATTCATCAAACCAAGTTCAATCCAAAGACGTGGCCAACGTGGTTTTTGGTTGAGCTCGAAGTGGAGAAGTAAGTAACTTCCCCACCCCCTCGCCCTAAAAAAAACCCAAGATTGAGTATTAGCCACGGCAGAGTTTAGACACAGATTTTCTGAGAATTTTTTGTCACTTTCATTCAGGGACCACGTGGTGACTCTGGGAATTCAGGACCACAAGGCCCACAGGGAATGAAGGTATGTGGTTACAGGTTTTAAGAATCTTTCTTCATTTTTCTGATGCGGTCAAGAGGACTCCTCTGCATTTGTTTTCTGTGTTAAGTTTGTTTAAATAATTTACTCCAAAGACGAATTCAGGACATCTCAAAGCGCTTTGATTTAATTCAGCGAGAAAACTTCAACAATGTTGAGTGGCTGTCAGTTTCACACATAAATTCAATGAGCCTAGTACAGTTAACCAACAAAATAGCGGAGTAAAGAAACACTGAAGTCTTTTCTTGCTCAGGCTTTTATTTCAAGAGAATAAGGAAGGAGAAAAGCAAAAACTGGATGTCTTCTTCACTGCTCATGATGACAACAAATTTTAATAGTCATTTTCAGTAACGTTGAATCCTATGTCACTGTTAAAAAAACTCCTTGATATGTGTTTAATCTTTTGTTCTTTGTCCTGTAGGGAGACCCTGGTGTCAGAGGTATGATTGGCTTGCCTGGACCCCCAGGCAAACCAGGCCCACCAGGAAGCCCAGGAACGGTAAGCTCTCTCCAGCATTGTGCAAATGTCGGTCAGTTTAATAGGGAGTCAGGTTGGCGTGGTGGCTCTTTCCTTACCTTCCACCTCTGGTTCAGGTTCAATTCCTGAATAATTCCACATGTGGATTGGGTTTTCTGTCCCTGTCTGATTTTGTAGGTGTTACACAGAATATTTCTCTGGGGTTTTCCTCCTGCTTCTTAGGAGTTATTGCTTCACATTGTCTCCTCTCTATAGGTTTCTTCAGGCTTGGAACTACAATGCCTTGGGCACATCTTAGGAATCCTTGATTTTATTACAAAAAAATCATAATGAAATGCCTTCAAAAGCTTTTTATTGGCTTTTTTTATAACATCACTTTGGATTTAAGCGTTTTATACTCATTTGTAGTTTAATATTATTTTTTGTTCTTTGTTGTTTTTTTTTGTAGATCTCAGCAAGTGCTAATGTTGGACAGCAAGCCTACAAGGGTGTTCTACCTGGTGGATACCAGTATCCTCAAGCCTCTGTTCAGGTGAGTTAATACAGAAATCTCCCGTTAAAGAGTCATGTTCATTTCTATTCATAAGTGGTGATCATCGGCTCCTCACCCACCCGGCTCAAGTCTCGAAATGGTTCATCAAATTACTTCCTCCGTTTCAAATGAAATTTCGTGATCTTTTCCAGAAAGTTGATGTCTCTAGCTTGAATCAGGCTTTCACCTGTATGTCAGCCCTTTGCAGCTGAAAAATAGCACCCTGGCAACATCCCACCTTTTATTAATTAGCAGTCCTTGAAATGTGAGAATCCCCATGATAATGATGTATGCTTTTGGGCTTCAGGTGAGCTGTTTGGGCAAAATGTAGTGGACCTTTTCTCTGCACAAAGCTAGAAACTTTTTCTCGTATTTATTTTGCGGAATGGAAATATTTCAGCAAGGAATTCCTGGCAAGAAGAAATTGGCCTAATAAATATATACTATTTGTGTACTCATTTTTTCTTGTTTTATTTTTAGGGACCCCCTGGTCCACGTGGTCTCCCTGGTTCCCCAGGTCAAAGGGTAAGTTTAAGGAGATCTTTGACAAAAAGTACTATATACAAGATCTTCTTAAGGATGCTTGAATTGCATTCAAGTCTACCTGTTGTAATTTACACAAGTTATGGTGTGCAATACAGATTCTTCTCTGTTAGTTTCTTATTCATTGATAATTAATTATTATTATTGATAATTAATTATCAATGAACAATAATTAAAATCCCTAAAATTGAGAACCCACATGCTTTCTCAACAAGAAATAGGCAAGTGTGTAAGAAAATTGATTGTATTTCAGCATTTGGGCAACTGAAAGCAAGATGTTATTGTACCTCTGCCACTTCTTTGTTTCAGGGAGCACAAGGAATGATAGGACCCGCTGGCCCAACTGGAGAACCAGGATCCCCTGTAAGTTGGACGTAGTTTCAGAGATAGTTTAAGAAACCTACTTTTCATGTACAAGTTAAGACAGTTGTGGGGGACCTTCTTGGTAGGTAGGCTGGCTGGAAATGGCCCACTTGGAGGGCACAAAAAGAAATGGTGGAGACTTATAGGGGCCCCCGTCTTCAAGGCCGCCTTGCTTTCCTGTTTCCCACCCACTCCCTTCCCTGAGATCCCTGAAAGATCAGACACACAAACACAACTAGATTAAGATATTCTTGGATAGTAAATGATTGTTTGAAAATGATATTCAAGGATTAATTAGCCACGGTTTTTGTGTGTAAATGGTTTTTGCTCCAGTTGCAACTGCTTTGATAGGATACCAGTCATGAAACATCTTGTATTCTTTTTCTTACTTTCAGGGACCGGCAGGACCTGCTGGACCCCCAGGACCCCCAGGCAGAAATGGAAACGATGTAAGTGAAATGCAGCTAAACTCTTGATAATGAGGGCTTGTGCATGAGAAAGTCACTTTTTATTGTGATTCTTGGTGGCTCTTGTGCATGTGGGCACATGATGCTAACTGTAACATTCTTATACTTGAAGGTGGTATAAAGGCTGTCTCAGAAGAGTAGAAAGAGCAATTTTCAGTTTGCCTGTTCCAGTGCCTTTGAGGTTTTCATGGTCTGTAATGTATGTCTGTTTGGTTGTGAAAGGGTGATGATGGCAAAGATGGATCCCCAGGACCTGCTGGACCACCAGGAGGAACAGGAGCACGTGGTGCTCCAGGCAGACCTGGCAGCCCAGGAATGAAGGGACATGCTGGATTTGCTGGTCTACCCGGAATGAAGGGAGACACAGGCTCAAAGGGAGACCGCGGCGCAGATGGTGCAACTGGACCCTCCGGAGCCCCAGGACTACCTGGACCAGCTGGACCACAAGGAGAGAGAGGACGCACAGGATCTCAGGGTGAGCAAGGACCAGCCGGAGCAGATGGCTCACCAGGATCACAGGGACCATCTGGACCACCAGGACCCACCGGTGCTCCCGGCATGCCAGGAATTCAGGGACCCAAGGGAGATGCTGGCAGCCAAGGAGGCCGCGGACCTCAGGGTGTTCAGGGCGTACGAGGTGAACGTGGATCTGATGGTTCTCCTGGAGCCCCTGGTGCTCCGGGATCCCCAGGACGTGATGGCAGCGTTGGAGCTAAAGGACCTGCTGGTGCTGTTGGACCAATGGGAGCGCCAGGCTTCCAGGGACCCACTGGACCCCCAGGACCTGCTGGAGCTGTAGGAGCCCCAGGTGCTAAGGGAGACCAAGGAGCACCTGGTGCACCAGGTGATCGTGGTGAGGATGGACCCCAAGGGCCTGCTGGTGCGACTGGACCTCAAGGAGCCCCTGGAGAAGCAGGACAGGATGGACCAAGAGTAAGAGAAATTTCATATTTGCCATGGCATATACCCCGTAGCAATAACACAGGAGAAGTTTAGCGTTGGCATGGTGTCTTTCATGTTCTTGCCACAATTTTAGTTCCCCACAGTTTATGAGTCATTACTTGAGGGGAAGGGCAATGGCAATGAACCTGTAAATCCATTGGTAAATGTAATCACTGACAAGACAAAACAAAAGAAAAAGGAACAAAAGATGTGAGTTGCAGGTGCGAGGTGTTGAACTCATTTAGCGATCGAACGAAATATCTTTTAATTCTTTGTTTTTCACCTTTCCTTTGTCTCAAGGGTGCTCGGGGATCTCCTGGTGCAACTGGCCCCATTGGACCTCCTGGTGAACGTGTGAGTATCTTATTGATTTTGCATTTTCTTTTGGGGGAGGGATTCGTAAATGAGAAGGCTTACGCTTATTGGAAACACATAATTTACCAGCTGAAAGCTTCATCAGAATCTAAGAGTTGTGTGTATGGATACACAAATGCAACATCGACTGAGCATAAAAGGAGGTTAGAATTGTGTCAAAACCTAAAGCGACTCGTAGACAAAAAGTCTTTCAAATTCAAATCGATTTCCCATGAAATTGGAATCAGGTTTCTCCTCTCTCTCTTAACTTAAATCGGCTTTCAGATGATATTTAGAAACCCTTCAAGTAGTGGAAGACTCGATGGAAGGCGTGTGGCACAATTGAACCAATTTTTTTTTGTTTTTTCCCCTTTATCAGGGTGCTGTTGGCCCCATGGGACCTGCTGGTGCCCCTGGTGCTCCTGGACCAAAGGTAAGGCCTTGTTCATCTCATCTGGCTATGGCTGCATGAAATGTACATGTACATGTAGGCATTCATGGGGAGCTGCTGCTGCATCCACTAGCTGGTGGTGTCTATGGGTGTCTGTGTGTTTGTGTTAGCCACAGCCATAGCTTTCAGACAAAGCTAAAGGAATTTCTCTTTATTCAATTCGGACTCAATTTTCCATGCTCTTTGCAGTTTTTCAAAGATATTTAAGTTACATACACTTGCACATATGATGTCAGGCCTTGAATTCGGTAATTTTAGGGAAAGTGGCTGTTTGGCCTTGAATCGTGCAAAATTACAGAGGGCATCACTGCTGACAACTAGGGCACAAGGGTATTTTTCCATTTTTTTCTGAACACTGAAAACACAGAAGTCAATATGTTGTTCTTAAAAACTTTTGACAGTTGGAACTTCACACATGTGCTCACATATTGCGATTATTCTTGATTTCCTAGCGCATACGTCAATGTGCCCTTTGTACAATGTGTATTTTGTTAAGTGACTTAACTTTTAATACAAATAAGATCTGCCACTCGTACACATACTAGAATGTGAGTGAATCAATGTAGACATTCATTTCTGCTGCATGGGTGGCGCTTCCTGAAGTATTGACACACTCAAAATTAATGCGTAGTGCATACAGCTATGTACATGAACATGTGCAAGTTGTGCAGTATAGTTCTGGTATTCATACATTGCACTTGGGATTGCAAAGCTAAATTCGGTTCGTCAGCCACCCGTGTGTGGCTGATTTAGTGAAATTTGAAGACATCAATCACGCTTACATGACATCCAAAAAATGCAGTGCCAGTGTGTATTTTAACTGGAATCGAGGCGTATTATGGGGTTAATGGATGTTTTTGCAAAAAGGGTGCGGACGGTTAAGGTCATAGGGCAGGGCAAAACTGGCTGTGAAGAAGGCAACTTTTTGTCAGTCAAATTGGCTTGTAAGAAGGGCGATAACACCACTAGCTGTCGTGGCTGTTGTTCAGATCAAGTCCTGTAATGTAATGTCAAAAGCATTCAAGTGATCTTAGCTAGTTTTGGTCGGGCATGAGGTTAGTAGATCTGCAGCAGGCATGGATCAGTGCTTTTGCATGGACTGTTTCTCCTTTGTATTTAAGTTACGTCCACAAAATTCAGTCCATCGTCTAATTACTGAAGCTTGCTGAATTATGAACATTGACGTGGCTGTCTTCTCTGATTTTAGGGCAACTTGGGAGAGAGAGGCCCACGGGGAGAGCAGGGAGCCAAGGGTAACGATGTAAGTTCTGTAATATCTATTTTATCAGTTTTGTTGCATTTTGTACCTTTTTTCTAACCCTTATACCACAAATGATGCAGCAGAGTTTGAGAGTGAAATGGGGGGAATGGTGCTTTTTGGTTGTCGTAGGGAGCCTCAGTCAAGAAATTTGGTCTTATATTCTTGGTTTATGACAGACATTTTTAGTAAAAAACTTCGGCTTGTCTATTTTCATTTACTTCGAGTTCACTTATTTCGCATTTTAAACAGGGTGAGCCAGGCCGTCCAGGAGAGCCAGGAATAGCAGGACCAAGAGTTAGTATCAATGACCTTTTTATCCCATTGAATGCAATAACTTGGAATGATTTTTGGGTGATTGTGAGAATCATGTTTTTTTCTCCTCAAAGCAACTTTCAGTCAAAATTGTTATTAAGTGTAACATGATATTTTTCAATCATTTCATTTGTTTTTAATTTCCAAAGGGATTGACCGGTGCCCCAGGAAAGGAGGGACGCGATGGCAAGCCAGGACCACCCGTTAGTAAAATTTCTCATTATTTATTTGTGGTACTTTATCAAAAGCTTTTGAGATTTTCAGTGCCCGTTACTGTCCTGGTTCTAGAACCTGGAATTAAGTTAAAGTTTGCACATTTGTTGCAATTAGTTGCATTGTGAGTTGTTCACAGAAAAAACGGTCTGAACGGCCCCTCTAGAAATCTCTGTTGGTTTCCACATTCATCCTCGATCAACCTGTGCACGTGGGACTGGTCTATAGCTTCCATGCACTTGTGATCATGCAGTCATGTCACTTGGCAACAGGAAATGGTGGACTGCAGAAGCTCAGTGATTGCCTGTAAAAAGTCAGCACATAGTGGGGGCATCCTGTGAAATGCTGTGAGATTGGCACATTTACATGGCACATATGTAGAAACCAGGTACTGTAAAAAGTGTTCGCGATTAAACGGTATACGACGGTTACGTTTAGTTTCAAGGATTTGGTTTGATACCGTTTCTCGTTCCTCAATACTTTGTTGAATTTTAGGGCCCATCTGGTGATGACGGACGACCAGGAGCCCCAGGTGCCCAGGTATGTTGTTCTATTTGATTTTTGGTTTTGTCGTACAGCTTTCTTTCAGAACCATAAGTTACTCAGATTGGGCTTTAGCTTGGGGGGGTTGTCTATATTAAATGGCAGGCAGTATTTTAAAAAAATCAAAACATATCCAAGGTTTTATTGAAAATATTTTTAAATTGCCTTTGGCTCGAAACATGGCTACTAAGTATTAAAAATTTTAAGACTCAATTTCCTTTTTTTAATCCTTGCACAGGGACAACGCGGACTTCCAGGCATCCAGGGTCTGCCAGGAACTACTGGTTCACCAGTAAGTTAAACTCTCAAGTCTGTTCTGTTTTCCGTAACAGCTTTGAGCGTACAACTTTCAGTTTAATGAGCAGCTGCTCTACCAATAACTTATTATACCACATTGGGTATAACCATTCAACAGCTCTTGGTAGGAGGGAACAAACAGTTTAAGCAAAATTATGCACAAGTGTTTGGAAAATGTGACTTTTAGTTTTGCAGCTGCTGAAAGTGTCAACGTGTTGCATATGTATAGGGGGTGTCAACATGTTGCATATGCATAGGAGGGTCAACATGTTGCACATGCATAGAGGGTCAAGAGGTTGCTACCATTTGAAATTTGGAAATTTTTTTCTTAATGACAATTTTTCTTTCCAATTTGCCAGGGTGACCGTGGAGCTGATGGTGCACCAGGACCCCAGGGAGCTCAAGGAGCCACAGTAAGTGCAAAGTTTGAATGCCCTACTACCATTTTTCCCTTGCCGTGCATCCCTTAGCAAAGGCTAGCTACGCCACCCGTACCACCGTTCCAACTAAAATGCACAAGCCTCTCTTCAGTATCGCAAAAGAGGTATCACGAAAGAGGATTTTTTGTACAACTTCCCACTTCCCAGTCATCACATTTCATTAAGTGGACTGAATAGTCCTGTATAAGCGGACAAATGATGGTGAATTGACCAGTGAAAAATGTGATCTCACTTGTATTAGACATGTTTAATAGCTAGCAGTATTGCCTTACATGGAACTGTTGCCTGTTTGATAAAGTGTTTTCTTAATACCAGGGTGAACCGGGCAAACAAGGAAACCCTGGACCTGCTGGACCAGCTGGCGCAACTGGTGCCACTGGAGATAGAGGACCAGCTGGTGCACAAGGACCCGCTGGACCAATGGTATGTTGAGCTTGCTTTGTTGAATCCTCGAGGGAAATAGTTTCCACTCACATAATGTCCTTTGAATTTCTACCGGCATACTGTCCTTTCAAAATATGTATTTAGCTATTTTTGTGTTAATGTGTATAGTGCATATATGCGTTTGTCAGCTGATGTACAATTTACCCAAAGAATTCACCATAAGCTGTTTTTCATTTATAAGGTAATTATTTTTTAAACAAATGTGTAACATGTATGCGTTCTTTGAATGCTAAATTCCATTTTTTTTGGCACACGGTGAAATTTTGTTAAGGTTTTGTGAACGATTTTCAAACTTTTTTGTTTCAATTGTTACGTAGGGCCCACCTGGACCAACTGGAGTTCCAGGTGATGCAGGACCTGCAGGAGATGTTGGAGCACCAGGAGACTCTGGACCAGCTGGACCTATTGGACCACGAGTAAGTAACTGTCCTATCTGACACCTTTTTTGAAAGGGCATTTGACTAGCCCAATCCCCTCAAAAAAGAGCATTTTTCTCGTTAACCAATTTCCCCACATTTGCAATTTTCCCATCTTTTCTGGTCCCATACATTTGTTCCAACTTTTTGATTGAGTTTACATTAAGTTGTAAACTCTTGCCCGCACGGATGTCATTTTCCGGTTCCTCAGTTGAATTGCTATCTAAATATTTGCATTTTGTATTCATTGTGAGCCTTTATTTCTAATTCCACCAGATGCCTTTACTAAAGCCAGCATTTCATTAAATCCTGTGCTTGTTTGTGCATGCATAGGGTGAGCGTGGAAGCCAGGGTGAGAGGGGGCCACCAGGAGCTATTGGTCCACCAGGTAAGCGGGGTACCAGCGGACGCAGTGGTTCTGATGGACGCAAGGGTGATGTTGGAGCCAAGGGAGACCCAGGCTTGCAGGGACCACCAGGACCACAGGGTGCCCCAGGTGACCGAGGACCCGCCGGACCTCCAGGACCAGCTGGACCCACTGGATCTGTTGGACCTACCGGTGCCCCAGGACCCTCAGGATCTGATGGCGCCATTGGACCCATGGGCCCCGTAGGTCCATCTGGTGCTGTGGGCATGCCAGGAGAACCAGGAGACCAGGGTGAACCAGGACCGGCCGGGGCCCCGGGTGACCGGGGAGATACTGGAGTCCAAGGAGCACAGGGACCGCCCGGACCTCAGGGATTTGCAGGTGGACCAGGACGTCCCGGGGCCCAAGGACCTCGTGGACCAGATGGACCTTCTGGAGACAAGGGAGAACCAGGACCTGCAGGACCTGCTGGTGCCCCTGGTGATGTTGGACCTGCTGTAAGTTGCAGATGTTCAACCTAGGTGAAATCTGTAAACCGTCATGAAATATGCCAGTACGAAACATTCTTACTGTTGGTGCACCAAGTGTGTGCAATAGCATCCAAGTGTCTTTGCAAATGTAAATTTTCCAGTTTTTAAAACTCACTGGCACTTCTTTTGAAAACTATCACCATTAACTTTGCAAATTTAGAAAAAATTGAATTGTGCTCAATGTTGGAACGAATTGATTTTGTTTCCCTTTGATTTTATCTGCACTGTAGGGCGCCCCTGGAGCTACTGGAGCACCTGGAGATCGTGGAGAGACTGGAGCACAGGTGAGTAAATACACCCATGAGAGGAACCATTACCTTGAGCATTTTCTCCAACAGACAAAACGTTCAGGCACTTTAGTTTTCATCACTCCTACAGAAGCCGTTTTTTTCCATTAACATCAGTCACATCATTTAGGACAGTTGCATAACCTTGCTTTCAGACAGTCTGAGGCCTCTCATCAAAACCACCAGTTTTGACATTATTGCGCTGAAAATTATAATAAACTGTTCTATGTATTTTATCTCCCAGGGAGCCCAAGGACCTTCAGGACCAATGGGACCAGTTGGTGCTCCTGGACTCGCTGTAAGTATCCGCACCCCCCAAAAAAACCTGTCAGTGGGCTGATACCGCATCAGACTCTGTTTGTCTAGAGCTAGTAGTCTTTGCCCATTGGAATTACACAGGGGCATGCTATGGATAGACCCAGCCCAAGCTCTGGACACCCTGTCTTGTATTCAGCCATGATCTCTTAAACACTGAAGTGTTTGAAATGAGTCACTATTGCTTTGCCCTTTTTATTGTCTTAGTAGAGACAAGGAATAAACTGTTTGTTTAGATTTGTGTGGAGATTGTTCGCAGTTTTGTTCATAAATTGATGAACGAACTTTAATGAGAGACTGTAAAGACAACTGTCAGTTCATACACTAGCAAAGGCTTGGATACCCCAGCTCCCTGAAATGAAAAAACATACAAAGAATTCAATATTTCTAATGCTTTTTTCTTTTATGCGTTAGTTGAATGCAAAAAATCCTTGAACATAATTGGACATTTCACAGTCCCTCCGAGTCAAGAAGCTGTGTCTTTTTTGTTTGTCTACCTAGGGACCCCAAGGCTCGGCTGGACCCGCAGGACCTGCTGGAAATGATGGCGCCCCAGTAAGTTTGAGATTGAATTCCAACTTGATTTCAACAGCAGTTTTTTGTCTAGTCTGCGTATACCGTTCGACTGAACAAAAATTAAAATATCAGGTGGCAATCCCTTTTCTTACCGCCGTAACGTAATCCAGGATGTCAGGGAAAAAAGACAGGCACTGGTTTTTTAAATACTTTTTGGACTCTTTGAAATTCACATTATATTGCCGTGTTCAATTTTCTGCTACCAGGGCCCACGTGGTGAGTCTGGTGCCACTGGACGCCCAGGTGAACAGGGACCTCAGGGTCTTCCAGGACCTCCAGGAGACAGAGGAGACAGAGGAGGCGATGGTGCCACTGTGAGTTAGAAATTAGAATTAAACCTTGAAATTGGATCAAACTTTGCAACCGCTATGTAGTGTGATCCTAATACTCATTGCCCATGGGCAGCTCCCAATTCTGTTTAATAGTTCGTAGTAATCACTTCACAAGGAGGATGTAAATATGGCCCAGTTAATTACCCTGAAATTGGAAAGTAGTGGCAAATATTGAAAAAGGTCTGTAAGGAATACTTCAATCCAACTGGAGAAAATTATAGACCATTTATGCAACCTGACACACTGAAATTATTGTAAAGCACCATTTCCTGCATATTGATCACATGATAATCCCCTTTGACCTAGCATTTACCTGCACCTTTTTGCACCTGGTATCAGGTGAATGATCATGCATTTTTGGACTCTGTTTAGACAACTGTTGTTTCTTGCCATATCACAGGGTGCACCAGGACCCCCAGGACCTGCTGGACCTGCAGGACAGATTGGAAACCTTGTAAGTAAAATATATTAATTGTTTTATAGTCCCCATGGCTCATGTTGATAATGTCTACAATCTCTTGTGATATGTGAATACTTCTCTGTGCGATGTTGATAAAACCTGGATGTTTGTCCTTTTTCTAAGGTCAAGAGTTATGAACAGACAAATTGAAAACCTTTTAAACATTTTTCCAAATGATCCTTTAAATGATTTAGTATTAGATTTTTAAGTAAGTCCTCTGGAAAGCCAGGTTTTGTGACAGCTGTTACTTTAGTCTGGGGCCTATGTGACTGTGTTCCACACAATTCATCCTCCTGGTTTGGATGATTTCTCATTCCTAATACAGGGTGTTAATGGAGCTCCTGGACCTCGTGGACCTGTTGGTGCACCTGGTGCTCAAGGAGAGGCTGGTCGCCCAGGCAATGATGGATCTCCTGGTGAGCGTGGAGCTCCTGGTGCCCCCGGAGCCCCTGGACCTGCTGGACCTCCAGGAGATGCTGGTGCCCCTGTAAGTCTCATAACTCTTTTCTTTAATCAGTGGCTTGGGTAGTTTTGTAATTGGTGGTGTAGATAGAGAGGGCACATGAAACAATGCACTTCACATGTCCCTAGCTATTCAAACTGGTAAAATCATCCATGTAATAAGTAAATTGTGTCAAGGATTTTGCATCATCTGAAGTGATTAGACTGAGCCATGCTCTCTTTATCAGGGTGAAAATGGAAATGATGGTGCCACTGGAGCCACCGGCCCTCGTGGTGACAAGGGTGACCAAGGACCTACAGGATCACAAGGTGCACCCGGTGCCCCTGGCATCGCCGGTGCCCCAGGACCTGCTGGATCTGCAGGAGATCGCGGAGACACTGGAGCCCCAGGACCAGCTGGACCTGCTGGCCCCGCCGGACAGCGTGGAAACACTGGATCTGCTGGACCTGCTGGTCCAGCTGGACCAGCGGGTGACCGTGGTGCAACTGGTGCCCAAGGAGCAAAGGGACATCCCGGCATGCCCGGTCTGCCAGGCATCCAAGGACCTCCTGGTATTGCTGGTGATTCTGGCCCAGCGGGTGAGGCAGGAGCTCCCGGACCAAGAGTAAGTAGCCGTAGTCACACTTCTTTCAGGTGTTGCAGACTTGGATCTTCATCCTATCTATCAGCAGTCCTCTGATATCAATATAACTCTTCACGCCCTCTTTGGAAATTTTGTAAAGCAAAGAGTTCCGAATGAAAAAAAACAAAACATGCCATCCAAAATTGACCTCCTGTGACCAATTCCTAGCTTTGCCAAAATAAAACAGGTTCAGTATTATTTTGATGCAAAGCCGGCTGTTCCTCAGAAATTAAGCTTTGCAGGGCGTCAGCGAGTTTACCTGGTAAGCAGAACTTCCTGAGATGTTAAGTTTCATTGTTTCCCTCAATTTTTCTCGTTATTCAGGGAGCCCCAGGACAGAGAGGTGCCAATGGTAAGGATGGAGCACCCGGTGGCCGTGGATATGTTGGAAATGAGGTGAGTGTTCCTTAAAGGGCAGATAACAATCTGTTTAAGGTGTCCGAAGGAAGTATATCTTCCTCAGATAATGTTTCAAATGTTTCATTTCTTCTCATGTTACTGCATGTGGAAATTAACGTACCTGTAGTTTTGTTTTATTCCCACACATGGTCCAAATCTGGAGAATTCAGTTTCCTTGAATCCTTCCCAACGAAAAAGTGCCTTCTTTACTTTCAGAGTGTTGCTTTCAAAATGTAAAGTACACGAAAGTCCATGTCTGCACGTGACAAAAGTGCTTACTCAAGCCTGCCGTTGTACTCCAACTGCAATAGTCGTGTGAACACACCATAATAAAAGCTTGTCTGGCCCCTGAAACACTTGGAACAGGTGGAAACAGAGCTAAATTGAAGAGCCAGTGGCTCCTAGAAAAAAAGTTATGCACCAGGTCCATTTTTTGTACATATTGTACTCATATTTGCAAAATAAACAAGTTACGCCTACAGTATGTACAAAATCTGACAAAACACACTGAAACATTCTGTAAATTATCTGCTGGACAGACAGGCTTTGGATTTTTGTCTTGTAGAATAAATCAAAAATGGCAACCAAATATATGAAAAAAAGCTGAAAGATAAGATTAGGCATGTTTATTCTCTTTCATTTGAGCATTTCATACCTGGGACCGGACCTGGAATCGTGGCGTGTATAGACTGCTAGTGCATCATGAATACGCGAAAAGTCTCAGCTCCCCACACACAATCTTTGCAGCGTGTGACCGGTAACCGCAAACCAGTTGACTTGGTTACCTCGTACCTGTACATGCACGTGTGTACACACAAGCTACGTTGCAGTTAACGTGGGCTCGTGCTGTATTTTATAGTAAGACAGAGAAAAACCATGTGATTATAGAGACATGGTGCACGTAGAAGAAAACTAGGCAGCGATCGTTGGTGAAATGTAACTGTGAAGGTTGGCGACTAACTGGCACATATCGTGGTTGCCATTGGCGATAAGAATTAAACATTAGGTGCAAATGCGACTGTTTTGGTCACACCGCACAGCGCTGGTTAGGAATCTAGCTCTTCAACTCTCTTTATCTCAAATGGGCAATTATATCACAATATAATCATCTCAGAGTACAACTGAATGACTAATTATCCAATATTCTCTTCTTTTGGATAGGGCCCACGCGGACCCCGCGGTGAGGATGGGCCTCAAGGACCTGCAGGACCTCCCGGACCCCCTGGACCACCAGTAAGTTTGCTTATACCTTCTTTCCGTTTGGATTTGAATAGGCAGTGGTAAAAAACAGACTGTCAGTTTACAGTGTTGACAGTTACTTCCTCAACCTAAGTTCGGCTGCCAAAATGCTCATAGTGCTGCATGCTACATGAACAGGAAATGGGTAAAGAAAAGTTGTACATTTCCCAAAAATGTCTATCAGATGCATTGCCCCATTCAGTCAACAACCATTAAACACATGTACACATGTATATCTTAGATATACATTACAAACTCGTTCCGTAGCCTGAAATTTTTTTGGGAGACCCTTGTAAACTCTGATCACAGAAGAAAAACTCTCCCCTCGACTTACTTTTACCAGATCATGTCACTAATTTTTATATCTTCTCTCACCTGTCTTTCCTCAACAGGGACCTCCTGGTGAAGTGGTAAGTAGACTTTGTGCAAGCATACGGCATATTCGTTTTGTTTATTACATGGTTTTTCTTAAATTACAAAAACTTGCCATTGGTCTAACTTTCCAATAATGGATATACTTAAAACTTTTTTATGACAAACTATATCACCCTTGATTCTTGTAGATTAATTCATTTCAAATATAGTAAAAAGTGGATGACCAGAGACATACGGGCGTTTCACAATACATGTAGTGGACCTCCAAGAGTTTGCAATGCATTGGCCAATCACAACGCTCAAAATGATCTGCCGACAACTTTCCAAACGTGCATTGGGTCGACAGATTTTGTGCACTGTGATTGGTCAACGCATTGCAAACTCCTAGTGGTGCAGTATTGTGAAACAGCGGTATTGAAAATGGATTACAAAGTGTCACCCTCTTGGGAGGGAAAGCAAAATAACTGCATGGTTGTTTTCAATGTTGCCCTGTTTGCTTTTTAAATACAGCAAGCTAGCTATGGATTGAGCTACCCGTATGCTGTTGGCAGCGTTGGAAAGGGAGCTGACCCATATGCGGGATATGTAAGTAACAAGCATGTGTATTTTCTGGTCTGATTGTCGATAGAAATACACCAATTATATAGACAGTTGGATGAAGCTTGCCTATGACGCTTTGAGAAGCTTTCTGCCTGGAGCAAGTTTGGTTAAATCCTTGCAGTTTCCTCCTTTGCCGTGTGCCTGAAAGTATCCCCTTATGTATTCCATGAGCACATTAAGTATGCTATATGCAACAGTGTTAACCAGTGGCATTCTACATATTTTGTGGTGTGAATGAATTTCTTACCAGAAGCAAAAATATAAACCACACAAAATCAACTCGTATTAGAAATCTCAAGCATTCACTTTTGAAGAGAAGAGTTGGAACTGTCTCAGTATTCTTGACATCAATTCTAAACCCTTTGCACACTGGTTTATTCCTCTCCCCAGTATGGAGATGCTGCCACCAAAGCTAAGGCCAAGCCCATGGACAACAGGGAGATCAGCCTGGTCCTAGCTTCCTTGGACAAGCAGATCAACGACCTCAAGAAGCCAGACGGCACCAAGGCCAACCCAGCACGCACCTGCAAGGACCTGTTCTTGTGCAACACCGAATTCACCAGTGGTAAGTTTTGTGCTATTGCTCTCTGTTTCTTTTTTGGTTATGAGTTTAAGTTTTGCAAGCTTATGTCATCAGCGGGGCACTTTTTAGCTCTGCTGGACAAGTCCCGTAAAGTACACAAGTTACTATGCTTTATTGTTTCTCGAGTGAAAAGTATTCCTTGATGTTTGTATTTGATGCAACAGGGTGGAGCTAGGGACTGTAGAGCTAGGGACAGGGTGATTAATGGACTGAAAAGACCTGTCTTCTCTCACCAGAAGTACCATCATATTCATTGTCCCCCACCTCCCCTAAAAGTAAAGTGTACATTGAAGTACAGGGAACCAGGGAAAAGTTGAGCCAAGGCCATCAGCCATATGCTCTCTTTTTTTCAGGCTATTACTACATTGATCCCAACCAGGGATGCACTGCTGATGCCATCAGGGTTTATTGCGACAAGGCAAGCAGCGAATCATGTGTGGAGCCAAAGGTTGCAGAAGTAGGTTTAATACATTTTTGTTTCCTGCACAATTGTTTTTCCAGTGAGAGAAAGTACACAGTTGAACACGTGATGTTACTTGAAGGGTAAAAATGTGAAAAATTGTTTTGTTATGTATGATTATAACAAAAATGTGTGGACCCTTATGGATATGTATGGTGTCTTTTTTGAAGAAACTTTTTGGAAAGTTTGCTTTCTTAAATTACCACTTCATGTCAGTCTCTACAAGCAACCTTGTAGCTGTATGGAGGCTTTTCAGATAGGTCTCACTGTCAGCTTTTTCCTTTTGCTCGCTCTCAGTATGAAAAACGAAGATGGCATGTAGGTCCTCCCAAGACTGTCTACATGAACTCCGTCAACAGTGGCAAGATGGTGAGAGAATCTTCTGTTTTATTTCCACGTGTAGTAATTCCTAACCACAGAGGCACTGCAGTGAAACTCTTGATGCGCAACCTTTCACCATCAAACGACATGAGGCCTCTTCTGAATGACTCGGCTGTGTCCAGAAATAGCACATGAACCTTACGAGGCCACCAGCCATTCCCTACATCCATTTCCCATGGATGAGTCTTACAAACATTCTAAATACAAAGATTCATATAGCCATACCTTACAGCATTACAGTTCGGTCACCTATTGTGCCTGATGCCTGATCTCTCCTGCATCTCATATTATAGATCGAGTACAACGTAACCGACCTGTCTCAGCTGACCTTCCTACGTCTACTGACCACCACAGTCTCCCAGGCTTTCACCTACCACTGCCTGAACTCAAATGCCAATCTGAAGCTCCTCACCAGCATAGAAAACATTGAACTTACGGAAGATAGTGAAGATCCCAAGAACCAGTACGAGGTGGAAGAGGATGGATGCTCGGTACGTGTTCTCTGGGTTTCTCCTGTATTTTTATTTTTTGGGGCCTGTAACAGAGGTGATAATGCCCCTAGCTGGTGTATCCAAGAGCTGGGATTTTTTTTGCCTTACTAAGAGTACTTCATAGGAACGAAATCATCGGTAATTATTAGATATTAGCACCAGAACCTTAAGAAACGACACAATGAATTAAAAACAAGGATGTCGGGACTTTAAGGCTTTTGATTTTTTTTATCACAACATCGCGTTGAATGAGCCCAAAGCCGATTAAATTCATTTGATCTGAGTTTGTCGGGCTGAAACTTCCTTCAGTTGGAATCACTTCCTTGAATCATTTCGTAAGGAATAAATCAAGGTGGGTTCCGAAACACAGATGCCAACTCCTCAGACATGGAGGCCTTCGAGTAAACTGCAGTGACACATTGGGGAATCAGTGGCGTATCCAGCTTTTTTGGGGGAATCCTTTTTTGTTTCTGAGTTAACCCTTTCAGCATAATTCTCTGAATTGTTCTGTTGTGTGGTTACAAACCAAGAAGCAAAACAATGCATAGACTTGGGAATTCTACTGTTATGTCTTTTTATATCTTGCAACTTTAACTCAGGTTAAGGATGGGGAATGGCATGCGACAAGAGTGAGCTACACCACATCAACAAGGAGCAGCCGTCTACCAATCATTGATGTAGCTACCAGTGATGTCGGTGGAGCAGACCAGCAGTTCGGTTGGGAGATAGAGCCTGTGTGCTTTGTGTAGACTGCTACCTTAAAAACCTCAACCACATAAATTTCTGTGTGAATAGTAGCTTCTCAAAAAAAAAGGGAACTTAATGTGTCTCGGTGCTAGCGGTCATTGTTTACTTTTAGGCAATTTTTTGTTTGTTTGATGTTAATTCCCCCCTTCTTTTAGAGAACACACCACATTAAGTGAACTCAGTAATGTAGTGATAAGCGAGTAGATCAGCGCAATGTGGACCGACCTTCCCAAAATTGAAAATGAAACAATTTTCCTTTAGATTGATGTGCATTTCTGTCGTTCGAAAGAATTGGATGCGAAATCTTTCCAAAGGTGCTTTTAAGTATTTGTTCTCTTAATTTTAAGTATTCAATCTCCCCCATACCTCATCACTGTCAAGTAGAATCCAAAACAGTGTACTGTAGATCATTAAACACCAGAATGCAACACTTCCTTTCAGAATAGTTGAAGTTGGAGACATCTCTGAACAATGAAATCATATATATATATCAGTTGCCCAGCCTGCCAAGGAGACTTAGAAGTACTGAAGTAACGAAAACTAAAACTGTTCTTGTATAAACTAATTTTGCTCAGATTTAACACAAAATAATCTCTTCTGCTTAGGGAGATTTTTTAGAATTTAGACTCTTTGTTACATTAAGGATGTGTACTTTGAAACTTAACCCTGAGTGACTATGAGAAGAAAAATGAAATGGTTTTTCATTACAATCTGATGTTTCAGTGTTTGGATTTCAAAGTGCAGGTCAAAGTGTCCAAAATCTTGCCAAAGTGTCCCAAATCTTGCCAACTTATGCCCAATAAGAAAAAACAATTGTAATTTTTTTATCAAAAACATATTACCATAGAAGCAGCCACTGGAGACTCAGGTTGACTCAATTATGGATTTGTTCTAACAATCCAAAGTAATTTAACCTCTATTTTTATACCCGTTTTCCAATTCATTTGTTTTTACACCTTCATAAAAACAATCAACTTTATCCTCATTCCGTTAAGAACAAGAGCATGCATGATGTACAGTGGGTTTAGTGGAAGTTTGTAATTTTAATGGTGAACAGTATTGCTGCAAAAAAAGGGGAATAATACACTATGCAAATGTCTTCCACGAGGATGACCTTTGGTGCTTCTTACAAAGTCTGAAATTTGCCTTTCTTATTTCTTAGTTCTCTATTTCTCTGCTGTTGCTTTTTAAGTTGGATCAGTTTCAAGTGTTGGCATGTGTAGCGAAGGAGAACAAACTATTTGTTTTCACTTATCACTTCTTTCATCTGAAGGTTTTAAGAACAAACTATTTGTTTTCACTTATCACTTCTTTCATCTGAAGGTTTTAAGGGGTTAACAATATTAGTGACGTCTTTCCTCAATCTGATGCAAAGCAAACATCACCACTGGCAGTAACACGTATTATTGATTGCAGGCTAGCACCACAGCCATGTCGTTTGGCCCAAGTCTTGAAACTGTGTCCATTTAAGGACTTCAGTGTGTGTGTGTTTCTTGAAATCCCCAAAATAGAGTGTGAACTGGGGAGGATTTTCTTGCATGAATATATACGCCCAGCTAGTATCTGCTCATTGCTTGCAAAAAAAAGAAAAGCTGTTCAAGCTTCCTCTTATTTTGGTCGTCATTGCTTATCCTTAAAGAAATCATTGTATTTGTTTTGCTGTCTACACCATGTGAGGTAAAAATGGAAAAAGTTGTGACCCCCGTCCCTGCCCTCCCCCCCTCCCCGAGAAGATTAAATGAAACATTTCAAAGTTTATAATACTTCTATGTTGAATGGTTTACATGGCTGCATAAAAAAGGCGTTCCTATCATGTCTATCATCTGGTCATTTGCCAAGTTAAGCAGCCAGAAGCCCACCTGTTCTTGTTATTAGTAAAAAAAAAAAAAGAAAGAAAGAAAGAAAAGAAACAGACACCCCACAACTTTTTCTTTAATGGCCAGTAGGATTGAACCTGCTATAAAATGGCTTGGCTTCAGCTGATTGGCTGTATATCAACAAATTTAACCAAAAAAGTGTAACTAAAAAGTTAGAAAAATAGAAAGGGGCCATAGCAAACCAAAAATTAAAAATAGTTTGATCTCATCAGTTATTTCTATACATGATACTAACAGCACGTATCTGTGTCAACCAAGCAACCGAGCAATATCAGACAGGAAAAATATATTCTGAGAAAAGCAAAAAGGATAGACTGATAGATTGTCACAAGTTCATTTGATAATGCACCACTGTTGATGTGTTAGCCTTTTGTCGCTGAAATTTTTATCCCTAAACAAAAAGAGCTTTACCCCCTCACTGACGATGCCTATGGTAACCCCCTTTTCACTGGTCTTAGTGACTGTATAAAGTACACCAGGCCATTGGATTTCTGGGTACATGTATTGATCTTGGAAATGTTGAGATAAAAATATTGCATCATCCCCATGATAAAGCTATGACAGTTCGTGGAAGAACTTGTGCCTGGGATTTCGTCAACCCTGGTTGGAACCTAGAGAGGTCATCATGTGAAGGCGCGGCGGGGCGTATCACGTACATGTACGTGGGGGCGCTGTACTGTCCTAGTGCTCAAAGGTACGAAGCTCTGCATGCTTCAAAGAGTGAATGCTGGATGAACAACTCGAGCAAGCTAGCTGGTGACACTGTGGACGAACTACGACTGCGCGTGTACGAATTTTCCAGGACTGATACTGTTAAGGTTGGCACCGTAAACAAGACAAAAAAAATCTAAAAAGAAACCTCGTGAACCCCAGAGGAATATTTGGGGTAAAACCCACGGAATCGGGTAGGGACTGAAAACACTAGCCCATGGTGGGATTGAACCTGGGCCACAAAGGTGAATAAAGGTGAGGAAAAAACTACGCCAACCTGACTAGTGTCGTAGCCAACTATTAAACTTATATAATAGTCCACATGTGTCCTAAAGAAAGAAAATATACCAGATATAAAAGAGGCCCTAAACATGCAAAATATAACAACTGTTCCTATCACAGTAAGCCACATAAATTAGTAGCATCATTACACCGTACGGGTCTACTGATGTTTCTGCCTGCATCTCTGACCCAAGAGGAATATTCTAGGAATCAGTTTGCTTGTCTGCCATCTGAAAATCAGTGCACAAAACCCTCTCTGATATTGTCGTAATTTTTTGTATGTTTGAGCCAAGTCTTCATATGTTCCTCCAGTCATGTCTTAATAATTTTGACACCAGTTTTATGAAAATCATACATATCATTTTCGCAAAACGTCCATTTTTCAGAGACAGGTCAGCCCCAAAATGTCAGCTTTTCCCACTGACTAGCTCAGTGCATACAGGTGGACATGGACAATCAATCATAACAGCAAACCTTTGTTGGATTGAATTTAGTCTTCACAGAAGCTCTCAGGATGAATGCCTTTACATGCATGTTAAGCGTCCATTGCTCAGACATTGGACAGCCTAGATTTGGGGGGATGGATTCTGCTGCCCTCCCCCACCCCTTTCTTTGAGACAATTTGGTCAGTCTTCAGATGCATGACAGTCAGTGGTGTAACTAGGATTTGCCTGGTGGGGGTGGGGACACCAGTATCTTATGGGGGCACCAGCTTTCGGTGTTGCATTTTTAGGGGGAGCAAGCTTTTGTTACTGTTTTGTTCGATCGATTCATCCGTTTTGTTTTTTTTGGGGGGGGGGCACCAGGAATTTGGGGGGGGCACATGCCCCCCCTGGCCACGCCACTGATGACAGGGGATGTATTAAATTCACTTCTCTCTAATATCTTATGGGGGTATAAAACGCACATAAAAATACAGTGCTAGTCTGCCCCATCCAGTAAAGTATAGGTGAGATTTATACAGAATTAAAAAGACAGTGAATGACCAAAAGCAGGGTGGCACTCACTGGTGGCAGAATGATTTTTGAAGGGGGGGTAGTTGTTAAATCATGTGGCATCAGCCATTAATAGCTCAATCCATGGAGCCCCACCCAATTTATACGTCCTGAAAAAAGTGGAAGGCCAGGCCCCGTCAAAAAATGCCCCCCTCCCCATTTCACCACCTGTTAAGTCAGATTTGTTTTGACAGTAAGAGGCAAAATAAGGGACTTGGCAACTACATGGACGGTCACAGATGTTACATCTCCCGAACTCCTTTACTGACAGGAAGTTCCTCCTGAGGTGCTGATGAGATCCTTATGAAAACAATGAGAGGGTATGAACAAGAGCATTGCTGACTGTCTCTAGGGGAGTCAGGTTGGCGTAATGGTGCTTTCCTCACCTTCCACCTCTGTGGTCTGGGTTCGAATCATGTCTCAGTCTACATGTGGATTGGGTTTTCAGTCCATTCCTGACTCCTTGGATTTCACCCTGAATATTCCTATGGTGTTTTCCTCTCAGCTCTAAACTCTAACTGCTTCTCATTGACTCCTGTCTACAGGTTTCTTTAGGCTTCAGCTTTTCAGGAATCCTCGGTATCATTACTATACATGATCAATAATAATAATAAGATAGGGTGTAGGGATAATTTCTATCACTGTATAAGCACTGTTGTGGTGCATTTACAGGGTACTTTCAAGTTGAACCCATCTCCTCTTTAACCAATAATTCATTCAGTTTGGTTTTATTACTAAGACGTGACTGTATCCCAGAGACTAACACTGGCTGTGTTTACATTGTAATCATCTAACATTACAGCCAATTTAGATTTCACCTTTACATTACATTAAATTAAAAACAAGTAAGCAAACAGTTAATGAAATTAATACCAACATTACCATATCATGTTGAAAGAGTAACATTATTAGAGGAGTTATACCATTTTTCAATCATTACATCAATGTGGCCTTCATGGGCAGACAGTACAATCCAAAGATAAAATAATTCTCCAAATTTGCTGATATTTGTATCTCTGTTTTCTTAGATTTTTTTTCTTTTTTTTTTGGTAAGAAGTGTATGGTGGCAGCATTGGCCAGAAAGACTTAACTGAGGTAGGCCACCTATATATTGCATAAAAAGGAGAAACCCCTGCTTGCTACTTCACTAAATAAGAGAAAATTTGGCAAATTGAGCAGAAGCCATAAACATGTAATGCTAATTCTAACCGTGACCATGCCATGTTGTAGACAAAAAACAGAGAAACAAAGGATTAAACATAAGAACTCGGCCCTCTTTGGTTAGATCATCCCAAAAAATTGGCTCTTACGGGGTTTATAAGAGTAGCTGCGCTTGAATTCTTTTGTAGAACATATTTTATGTTCAATTTTTAAGTGATCAATTATTTAACTAATTTTAATTCTGTTTTTAAATTCTAATTTTTATCTTCTCATCTTGTCAATTTTGGGTCTTTTTGAAATGTATGTTTTTTAACAATTGACGTCTTGTAGTGTTTTTTTAATGTTACATTTTAAGTGTTTGATTCTTCCTTTTAACTAATCACTCAATTCATTTATTAGTTGCACTGTGATTTTTTAATAAACCTTTAATATTGTTGGTGACCAAAGTTTGGTTGTTGTCAGAGAGGCATAACATTTGTAGCAGAATTGCCGAAGGGTACCAGTACACTTACATCGTTGTCTACATAATAATGTGACCTCAGACACTTTAAGTTCACACAGGCTTCATTAATAAAGTAATGCTGAAAAGTAGGGCAGGTTGTGATCTAGCTATAAGAAACAGATTTGCTTAATTGTTTACGTGCCATTTTCGAACTCTCTTAACCATGTATCAATTTCTTTTTCTTGTTTGTGTTGAGGCTATCTGAAGTAGGTTAGGGTTCGAGTCTGGGTTGAAGATCAGCTGAAAAAGGGCAAGCTAGGAAGACTTGAACTAAGTCATAACACTAATGACTTCGCAAGACACATTTCATTCAATTGGTCTTGTTCACGAGTGTCCGAGTCGGCCGTACTGAGTTCAAAGGGAGGTTAACTTTTTTTATTTTAGCATCAGAGAATGAAACATGAAAGCACTGACATAAAACTTCATTACAAATCAATGTCATTTATGCTGATGAAGGATTTAAAATGTTGGTGTGTTTAAATATTTGAAGCCACATTTAGAAAATAAAAAAGTCACGGAACCACAAATAGTCTGGTACCACCCCGTTTAATCGATTACAGTGAATAGGATACCAGGCCGTGTCATACTCACTTGGCTGTGGCTTGAATTTACACACAACTCTATGGGAACTGGCTAGGACCGCTACCATAGACAATTTTTGCAGGCCTTATAAGGGGAGGGGGGAGCTTAATGGATCGGCCTATTAATGGCTGATGCCTGCCACTTTGAAAATCGTTCTACTGCCACTTTCTTTATTGGGATCGGTCTGTCTTTGCTGCAACTTGGAAGCTTATTAACCATGTGAGTAGTTTAAAGATGGTTACAAAAGATCTGTGATCTTTGTTCCACATCTCTCCTTTAAGTCATTATAGATTTAAAACATAATATGTGTGTGCTGTGCATGTGTGGGAATCATATTTTCATTGACTACTCAAAGACAAAATTCAATATTTGCAATAGAATTAAGCATGCTTTGAGAATTTTGGTTTGAGAATTATAAAACAAGCACACATTCAGGGCAATAAAGTTGACAAGTATAACCATATACCTGGGACTGATTTCCTTGAAGAGTGTTTGTTTTTGTTTTGGGTCAAATAGATGGTATGAATATAGAGAGGAAAAGACAGCCCCAAATTTGGCTTCACACCTCAGAAACACCATGACAATTACATGTACTTGGAAAAATTGTCAAACTTCCCCCCCCCATCAAAGTTATGGTCCCCTCCCTCAAAAACGTGGTTCTTAATTTTGCCCTTGTTCGTCAAGGAAGGATTCCCCAACTTAACTCACCTCACCCTACCCTACTTGCCTCCCCCCCCCAAAAAAGGAACTTAAGATTAAACACCCTCTCGATTATGCTCCTGAAAACTTTTTTCCCCAGCTCCCAGACATCATGCATGGCTTTGCCATTAAATGCAGTTTATGCCACCTTGCTGAAAACGCTGGGGTCATGGCCTTGGCGGGTACCTCAGCAGTTTGCACATGTGGAGATTTGGGAAGGTTAATGTGGTAGGTGGTACACAGTGTACATGTATATGTCAGCCATTTCTAGAATTGCTGAAGTCAGCCAGTCTGGCTTGGTGAACTGATAATTATGTGCATGGCAACTCTCAAATATTTTGTAAAACTTTCAAGTAATTTTTTCTCTCTCAATATTTAAAAAGAGCATACTCAACTAAGTCCTCAGTGGGATGATGCAATTTGCTTTTACCCCTTCTGAATCCAGTCAGCAATTTTTGAGACTTTCAAAATTCCAACGTTTGATTAATTCGACCCACCTTTGTAGATCTGAGCCTATTGTCCAATTCAACACGTAAGCTGGGATAAAAGTTGGTATTGTAGGAATTGTGTTTAAAGTTGACTACCAACCAGTAATGTAATGGTCATTTAACTTTGCAGCTTGAAATTGATTATTAACTGCTTGGATTAAGTTTCCTTTCAAAAGATATTGTCCCCTCAGCGCACTGAAGGCCTGCCCATGTTTACTGGAAATTAATTTCTGTGTAGTTCCAATGTATGCATTGACAGGTATTCCTTTGAATTGTTGCATTTGATACTCTTTCAAACACTTTCAAATTCTGTAAACTATTAAACATGCATACAAGAAAGTTTTCCTTGTTTTCTGTAGTTAGAAATGACATCATTTTATTTAGACCCTCAGCTACCAGTTAAAGTGATTAAGTCGATACTGAGAGAATTCATGTACACTGCACACAATTTAACATGGGTAGCATTTTGCTTGTCTTTTTTTTCACCTCTTAATTGGCAGGTGTAGACCTGGTAAGAGGTTATATTAAAACCTCTTGAGAAACTTTTTGTGCACAAATTAAGTCTTGAAATGTAAAACAAGAGGAAAAGAGATGGTATAATTTCAATCTGTTATGTAGGGACGGAACTACATTTACATGTTAAGTTAGATCACTTTCCACAATCCTGAATCTGCTCCTCATTTGACAGTAGTACTACTAAGCTAGCATCAAGTTCACTCTGCAGCCATTTGTCGACCACTTATCCATTTCCTTAGAGAATAACTTACAGAATGTATCCTGGTTTACCGAGCAAATTTAACCAATGGTTGACTTATGGTTTTCTGCTCAAACTTGTTGCTCAAAATATAGTACTTATAATGCAGGTATATTTAATAAAATGAACCATTATTTTTACGACTATAATTTAAAAAGGTATACCTGTGTACGGACACTTCTTTCAACCCCAAACTACAACAGTTAGGCAAGGGATTAAAACGATTGAACAGCAACGTTGGAAATGTTTGAAGCTGTGCACTGGGCAGTTTAGAATTACTTTTTCTTCCCTTTTGGTTTGAATCACCTGATTTTTCCTAATTTTTTTTGGGGGGGGGTGGCTGAAAATGAAGAACCAACTGACGTGATGTTACAGTGAGGAGATGACAAAGTGAGGTCATTTAGTTTGTCAAAACTGAAATTCCCAGATTTTCTTTCAGATCGCCATCAACAAAAGAGAGTGTCTTACAGTGCATTTCTGCTCATGTCTATAATCTGCCTTATTATGGGGAGAAGCTGGTGGTGTTTCTAATGTCGAGTATCACCTTGTCTTCAGTTTCTTCAAAATCGTGTGATCTAATTGTGTTGTGGGCCTGTATATATTGTCCGTGTATGAGAGTATATATTTTGTGAAAAAAAACAGTAGAGGACATTCACCCCAGCAGTGTATTAAGAAATTAAAGATGAAATTTATCACAAAATAAAAACCTCTTTTAATTAACAAAGACAGTCTAGAAATTAGCAAACCAGCCGCATTCTTCCCCTTCTTGTCAGGTGGAATATGTGGTGAAGTTTATGTGTGTCTTTTGGTCTGCACTCAAGTGAGCATGGTAGCACTATGGTAACAATTCAGGTTAAGTGTTTAAAACAACAGTAATCAACCAAACTGAAATCAACCAGAAAACTGCCTTGATGATTCCAAACTCATGAATAATTTTCTTTGACAGATAGTCTTGGACAAACGGCAGAGGCACGCAAACTGAATAGAGGATATGCACTGTAAAGGCAGGATGACCCCCACCACAGGTGTCAACTTCCAGTGTGAAATGTGTAGGGCTAGCTTCCCTAGCCCTTCCAGTCAGGCTCCCACTAGCAGCATGCAGGGCACTGCCAAGGCATCAGATGCCCCCGCTCATCAGCACAATGAAAAAAAAAACAGCTTCCTTCCTATTGGCTGAAAGGTCTGGCCATGTGGCAGTGGAGCTATCCCATAATAGCCAGATAAAACCAGGCTGCCAACATTGCTGCCCGAGCTTGGAGCAGCTGAAAGTTTTTTTGGCGAACCAGATTGTGCATGATTCTTGGCGCACAGAGATTGTACAGCCATGTATAGCTTTGTGGGCCAGGCAGCCCACCATCGGTGGGGACTCCTTCTGGTCCTTGCCGCCGTACTTTTCGTGACAATTGAGGCCCAGGGTTCATCCTCAAGCAGCAGCGTCAGCTCATGTAAGTTTTTAACCATTTTTTTGGTGAAAATATTAATCACATTGCATGAAGACTCTTTGAAAAAATACTCTAATTGCCTTTAAAAGTCTTCTTTTTTCCCCTTTTCTTCTTCTGCTTATTTTGTTCAAAATTTGACAGAGTTTCCCTCATGCATGATGGTCTTTTAAGTTCACTTGTGTGTACATGCTCTCTTTCTAAATTTAAAAATAAGAAATGTCACCAGAAGTACATGTGGAATAGTTAATTTTTATTTCAGTTACCTGCGTGTAACTTGCATCACTTACATTTATTTTATTTTATTATTTTCTTTGGTGTCTTGTAACAGAGCACTTCATATTTAGTTACACCATCGTATGAACATAGTTTTTAGTTCTTGAAGAACTTGTATTCCATTTAGTTAATTTTGCTGAGTTTATATCTGGCATGTATATTTAGAAATTTTATTTTTTGTAAACATTTGTCACCTGCCACTATGGAAAAGTCACTAAAATCAAATTTAAGTGACTAGAAAACCGAATACATGACACTCTTCTGTCATTGCATTTTGAACAAACAAAAAAAATGCAAAACTAAAAATACTTAGGTGGCAGGTCACATTTATTTTCAAATTGTGAATTCATGCTGTCCGTGGTTTGGTTATTAAATTGATTTGTCGCACACCGTAACCTAAGAAACCTAAGGAAAAGGTATAAATTACAGTTTGACTGCCTCTTGCAAAAGTACTTATTTAAAAATGCCAACATCTCAAATGGCATTAGAAAGGTCTTTTGTTACATGCGTGGACTTTATATTCTCCAATTCCATGCCCAATTGATTTTTGGTTGGCTACATCATACGTGCATGTTTGGTTTGTTTTCACTGCCTTTGAAAGTTGGTATTGTGAAAACTCAGGAGTCATTTTGTTCACCGATCAAAGTGTTTAAATTAAAGTCCACTAATTAGGGAATAAGTTTGTGCCACTTTTATTCGTAAGACTGAGCTAGGAACTGTTCTTCTGTGGCCTTGTTCTGATCTTGTAGTATAGGATACGAAATAAGCTCTGTGAATAAATTATGCACTTTAAATGTTAAGATAATGAGGAACTGGGTACTGTAATTCTTAAGATTTTCTCTCATTTGAAAGATTTTGCATTCTGTAAACTTTAATATAAACAAGATGAATGCAGTTTTTCAACCTGAAAACATGCAATATCAGAGTCTGTTGTCTGGTGCCTTTCGAAGTAATTGTTATTGTCATTGATTTTTGTACAGCCATCTGAAACATTTAAACAACCTGTGCTGTTGACAGAAATTGCCAGCTTGCAGTTTTTATCCCTAGCCACCTTCAGACCCCTCTTTTTTGTTTGTGTGACAGTTGACCTTCGTCTGAGGTCATAGCTGGGGCTTCAGGCTAGAGGCAAGAGATAAAAAAATGGCTGACTCCTGCAGATTCTCTGGTCATACTGCTAGCCTTGCAATAGTCAGGAATTTGCTATATTAGCACAAATAGGAAGGGCTTGGAAATTACACTGTTATATCCTCTGAGGATTGCTATTTCATCACTTACATGTAAAGTAATTCAGGATTGAAAAAGTGTTAAATTTCATCACGCACAGGCAGGTGTTGGACAGAAAAAGCTTTGTACATAATCAACCATAGGCCAACAGTTAAATCTTAAAAAGTTAAGTGACTGTAACATTAATGAAAACTGATCGAAATGAGAAAGGAAAAATGTCTTCACAATGATAGGAAGAGTACAGCAAAGCAAATACCAATCCACCTTACAAACAGAGGCAGTGGGAAGCCTCAAATCTCCACGTATTCCTGTATGACCCAATAGTTCACTGGCGTCACCTTGAATGAAGCAGTCACTGGTAGTGGTATGTGGGCGGGGCCTGACTTGTTGACCCTGGCATTTGCTTCCTGATTGACTGGCATCAGGAGTTTAGCGGGGAGGAGCTCTGCTGGAGTCCACCACCATTAGCCAATCACAGGAGACTCCATGAGCAATGCTGGTGGTGCTGTGGGGGAGATGGTGAAAGTGAGCAAGCTATGAAACTAAAAACATCAGTACATGTACTGTTTGTGTAGAGCACATGTACATGTACTTCAGATGGTGGTAGAGGGGGGACTGCAACAATTTCAATCAGTTTCACAGTGGCTGCCCTTGTTATGTGAAACTGAAAAATCATGTTATGAACCCTAATTAACATAAAAAACCTGAATGTCTTCTTTTTGTTCAACATCAGGTGGGCCTACTGAAAATATGTCTAAAACTAGTTTAAACACTAAACAGAACCATGGACAGCTTGTAATTGCTAGACTTCAGCTTTTGTATTGAGTTGCATTGAATTTGCATGGGATTTATAGTCTATTTTTCTAAGTTGCACATGGTGGTAAATTTAATTTGCAATACTTTGAGTTTTGAATTAGCGTACTGACTTGTGCATGTTTCTTGGCAACTAAGGCTGCATCTGAATTTGTTGTCTAGAGCTAGGTCTAGGTCTTTGCTCCATTGGAAATATGCAGAGACATCTGGACAGTAGACCTAGCCATAGCCCTGGAAGCCCATTTCAGACCCAGCCTAAGTGCTACAGAAAGTAAAACCTCAAATGAGAAGCCATTCTCACTTTATAATTACATTCTTTTAGGTGAACTGATGCTTAAAGCTATTTTTCAGTCACAAAAAGAAAATGCACTTAAATTTTTTTTACAAATTCAAAAATGAATATTAAAAACATTTTTATTCTGTGGTGGCAGCAATATCGTGCAGAAGAGAAGTTCAAAGATCTTATTTAATCAGTGGTTTTTCTTCCCCTTATAATGAGAAAGGCTTTTCATGAATTTTTATTATATTTTGGCAATTGATTTCAGCCTCAGTTTAGCTTAAAATTGGTAAATGTATACTTTCAAGGTGCACCTCTAATAGTTCCACCTTTAAAACTACTGAATAAAATAGAAATCCCTCCAAAAGAATTAAATAACCCCAGTAAACAGCAGTGCGCAGCATTGTAAGACTGGACAAGTTACCTTCCTATTTGAATGAGAATTACTTTTGAATCAAAATACAACTGTGCCGATTTCTTGAGATGACTGAGATTGAGAATGAATGCCATTGTTTCTCTGAGCCTCTGAATCTTCTCCTTTGTTTTTCAGTTTAATTTTCTGGATCATAACCTTTCTGTTTTTCTGGCTTGTACTTTTTTTCATTTTAACTGCAACAGTTTGTTCTGCATCAGCTCTATACTGTCACTTGTATGTTAAGACTTTCTGTCCGCTATCTATTCTTTGATCAATTTGAGTCTTGAGATTTCTTTACGTCTACACTTCATTCTGAAATATTCAAACTCCATGTGAATTCCAATGATTCTGCATGAGCATGCATGAGAGTAGACATACAAGTTAGCTTGTGCCTGTCTTTCAACCCTTTTATAGCTGTTAAACCTCCTGATGAACCCCAGAAAGTAGTATTTAAAACAGTTTATGACAATTGTCCAGCATTCATAGAGTGTCTCTTAAGATACCAAGTCAAAATGTAAGGAGAGGAAAGCCAGGCTAGCTTTTAGTAAAAGCCTGCTGCTGTCCAGCAGTGATTATACAGGTTACTGGATAAACATTTTATTCAGACGTTATTTTCTCTGTATTTTTAATTTATAAAATTTGTATGATGTCTTTTTGAATACTCGGCAAAGTAAAGGGTTGATTCAAGACTGTACCATTCATGCATGGGTGATTCTCTCATTCAGATTCAAAGTCTTCTTTGCATGTTACTTTTCTTACCCTATGAGCTTTGCATGCCATATAGCAATTGCCATCTTACATATTTGCATGTTTTTTTGCAGTAGTATTCTCAGTATTAGAGGAATATTTTCTGAACGTTCTGAACGGCCGTGATTTTTATGTTGAGAAGACCTGTTCAAAGAGCTACAGTTGTGAATGTGAACAGCCGCACCAATCTTCTCGCATTCGCGTGTGAGCTTGAGTGTGGTACACAATGCCAACATTGCCCAATATTCTTTGACTTTTAATGCCTTACCATGATTTTTATGGGCAATTCCTCCAAATTCCTTATTTTTAACATAAGGATTTCGTTTATTGAATAATGAAACCATTTAAAAGATTTAAGCACCTGCCCTTTAATCTGCATGAACCTTTCATTATATTTCTGCTGGAGTATTTTTCTGTGCATGTGTTTTGTTTGTTTACATGTCCATTTATCTATTTGTTGTTTTTCTGCTCATTTGTCCATGTCCTTTTTGTTGGGTTGTTTCTCACGTTAGCATTTTCTTTTATGGTAAATGTCTGCCAATACCATAGCTATGTGTTTCTCTTTCTTGCCTTCTTTGTTTATAAGTGAAAACTGAAGTCAGAATTAAAGGTTTTATAGGTTTTCCTTTTTCTTTGAGTTGTTTGCAGAGGTTGAATTTTTTCACTGAGAGTCCATCTTTAGCCTTCTTTGACGTTCACCACTGATGTGACTGATTGGCTGAGTTCACACCCCCAAATCCAATTGTTTTCCTGTTCATGAAATATTTTGCGCGTAGTTAAAGTGTAGCTGCAATGAATGAAGCACTTCTGTATTCTATTGCCTATGTGGGAACAGCTACACGCGTGCATGGAAGTCTGTCCTATCAGCGCAGCCATATGCTGACTCGCGCTCGCTTTGTTCCCCAAAGACCTTGGCTTTTTGAAATACCGCACTGACTTATTTCTGTCACACACAATGAAATATTATACTCTTCTTCACAGTGTGAAAACTAATTTGATATCCTTCTAGGGTTAAATGCATTGAAAAGTGCACTTTTTAACATTGACAATTATTCGTGCTTTCAGAGGGCGCTGTTGCTGTGATGTCATCTAGGGAAGGCATGGTTCAGTGTTTAAGTTTTCTGTTAAACTTGTGAACCCAGAAGTGACTTGCTGGAAACACTAAGAATGGATCATTGCTTGCTCATTGCTATGTACTTACAAAACAAATCATTTAAGAAGAATAAATGTAGGCCAGCAATATCTTTTAAAAATGCAAGATTTTTTTTCGCACCAACTAATGCAACATTTAGGTTTCTTCCTGGCATGACATCACTGTTTTGTTCATGAATATGGAAACACCCGGCATAAAAACAAAAAAAGCACGAAAAAGTTATTTGAAATAGTGAAACAAAAATTGGAAGTGAAGTTAACAGAGACACAAAGGTGCATTTTGGAGGTTTGCATCAAAGAAGACCACTACAGTCAGTCCTTTTATTTTAAATTGTTCACAAGGAAGAAGAAACGGAAGTACTAGTAAAGAAAATAGAAATTTACCTGAATGTGCCTGTGTCTATACATAAAGTACTCTTCTGGCTGTCTCACTGATATGTTAAAATACTAGTATTATTTAAGTGCTCTTTAAAACTGATTATTCACTTTCAATTACTCATATCTTCACACAAATATTCGTTGTTGCTAACACTTCTATGTCATTGTCAGTCTGCTGCTTTGCATTTCACCTAACCATTCATACGTACTCATATTTCTAAATTAAGATAATAGATTTGGCATTTCATTCTCAATCTTTTGCTCTGCCAGTTTTTTAATGGAATTTGTGGTTTTAACACTTACTCTCTGTTTTACCTATTTTTTTTCCTGATTAGATCAGCAACTGGGCTTTGGATATTCTCAAAAGTTTTGGTTTAGCTTTGATGGAATGACCAATACTGAATTTTAAAGCTCCTTGCATTGAAAATCAGTGTAACATCTTGCAAAAATGTGGTCACACTAGAATTGATGTGGTAATTAAATCATGAAGGAAATTTATCAAAAAGTTTAAGTAGGTAGTATGTCATATGTATCTCTTGACTTACAATTGGAAATTATTTGTGATGGAAATAAAAAAGAAACTACTTTAAAATGGAAGGATCAAAAAACAATAATAGCAAATAAACATTGTGATCAATTCAGCTAGCCCTATTAAGCCTAGTTTACATGTCAGTGTAAAGAGATGTAGTGAGCAGTGCTGAACTGTCCCCAGTGATACACAGTTATATGGAAATGTTTGGAAGTTGGATCATGTTCAACTTGCTAATCGTGTTAAGCTTCTAGGGGTAGGATAGCTGGCACAAAGAATATCCCCATAGAAATATACACACTGGCATGACAGGCAAACAACGATGTCCCTAAAGTACTAGGCATTTTGCCCATTTTGTTCCAGCAGTATAGGGGCCTACTATAATTGGCCGCAAATGAAACTATCAAATTAATAGCCTTCAAGGAGTACTACAACCACCTGAAAAGGCACTTTAAACAAAACTTTAAGAGTTTTGGATGCTCTCTGCGTTCATTACGAACATATGAAAACTAGGCTTAAAATGTAATGGTTCTTCATGTGGAAGCTGTGCTTTGAAACTGTACTAAAAGCGTGGTAAAAATGTGCTATATTTTTAGACTGATTGTAAATGTCTCATCAGCCTGGTAGTTTTTCTAATCTTAAAGCTACTGGAAAATGTCGAACTAGGACCGAGTTGAATGAAGTTGCTCTGGGTGCACGTTGGAAGTCAGAGTTAATACACCTTGACAAACAAGGTTCTAGAACAGTAAACTGTTCCTCAAATTGTTTTTCGTTTTTATCTGAGCTGTGGCACACTGGTTTTGGCAATTTCTCCATCAGAATACAAATAAAAAAAAACAAAACAAAAACTGACCAAGCTTCTACAGTATCTTGTCATTGACGTTGAAAGCACACTGTTGCCCTCGTCTGTGTTTTCCCATTGCTCCAGCAATGATTCTTTTAATGTTGGAAAGTGCAGAAGTTTAAATAGTGTGGAACTCCAAAAGCCGGGGAAAAATAGTTGTGAAGGAATCTGTTTTTTTTTGCAGTATTATTTCTCTTGGGATGATACTTTGGCTCAGTTGTAATCTTTTTGGATTGTCAAAGATCCAAAGTCAGAATCCTGCTTATTTCAGCACAGCACATTGCTCAGTTCTCAACTCTCAGTTCTTGTTCAGCATAATGCAATGTAGTTGGAGAAAATGACACCATTTGCACATAGTGCTTAGGGTCAGTTTTACAATGTTAAGTTTGCCAGTGTGTTTCTGTAATATCAAGTTGGACCTATAGCTGTGTGAGAACAGTGCATCTTTCAAAGTTGGCCCGACTTGGGAAGGTCATACATGCACATGTATGTCTTTGTCCATGTGTGGACTCGCTTGAGTAATTTTATTCATATCTCATTGGGTACAAACTTAGTGGCCAATTACAAAAACAACTGTGCGATTGAAAGCGGACAGACTTTATAGGGTACCCTCGCAAGGTTAAAAATGCTGAAATCGTGGTATTTGGGAAATGTCAATTGCAGTATGTTTTAGCTTCCAAAAAAGCAAACATGCGTATGAATCAAAGGTGTAAATACTGTATTGTTGCCTAGGCATACATGTGCAAACTAGAAGTTGATCTGCATTACAATATATACTTGTACATTGGCGCATTTTGATACCAAATGTGTCTAGTGTTTCAGAAAGTACTTCCTGACTCTTTGTTTTTAATTCTCTGAAAGTTTAATCAGCATAAATTCTTAAGAGGATTATCCTGTAAAGGCGAGAGTTTTTTTGAAGTTGGTGCTTGGATCTGCCACCTTTTGGATTCGGAGCTGGAAAAAAGTTTTTTATTTTGTTCTCTGGTGTCTGACAGGCGGCATTGTCCCCGAATTCAATTTTGTGAGCTTTGATCCTTAATGGCTAGTGCTAGCGATAAGGTATACGTCATTTTTCTTTTTGGAAAAAGAGCTTTTGGTATTCCTCCCTCACTTGAAGACCCTTATTTGTGTCTCTCTCTCTTGAGACTGTGTAAAAAGTTGTTTTTTTTTGTTTTTGTTTTTTGTGCCCTCTAAATATTTTTCTTAAGAAATAAAGGAGCACCAACTAATAATAAACGCTCGCTTAACTGTGTTTTACAGAACTAGAAAAGACAAGATTGTACCTTTAACCAGTTACATGAAAAACTTATCTTTCAAGACTGAAATAACTCAGTTTTACATTTTTTGAAATGTTAACAGTCTTTTGTAAAGACTGAAGCAAGTTGTGTTTGTATTTATAAAATGTAGGGCTCTGTTTACTTTCATCATTGTGATTTTTCATGTTGCAAACCCATTTGATGCAAGTTCAAGGTAAGTTGGACATTTTACATTTTTTTTTATTCTGTGGAAAGAAAGCAACTTTACCATTTTGTCAATCTGGAATTTACCCTTACAGTTTTCCTAGTCTTACACAACATCACGATATGTTGCATTTTAAAAGCAAAGGCATTAGTGAATACCTTGAAATTTATTGCAAGATATGATTCTTCATTGCTCAGAATTATACAGTTCTTTTGGTTTTTTTAAATCTTCAAGGGTCACAAGTTTGATTTTAAAAAAATCGCGACAGTTACTGACTAGGTTAACAATGAATAGTTTTTACTATACTCAAATTGTACTACTGCAACTGCATTATGACACAAAACAGAGTAATGGAGACCAGTCACATTAGCAGTCTTCTTCCTTTGGTTATAATTTCTGCAAATGTTTCAACGCCCTAAATATTTTATACTTTGTCATACAAGTTGTAATTCAAACGAAACAGTAGATAACTTTACCCGCTCTCGCTGTAAAAATGGGCAGATAAAAAACTATGTTTACCAATAAGTTTTACTTACAGATATTAATAGTATGGCCCCCACACCGATTACACTCGTAAGGAACAGGTTGTGGAGTACCTGTATCAAGGCATGGCAAAAATGTAAAAACCGCCAGGGAAACGCTGCTATTGGTACAATAACCCCGCGATCATGAACTCCATGCATTAACAAAGGGGCTCACACACACCCGGCCCAGAGCATGTAAGACACAAAGACAAAAAAATTTTCATCAGAATGTACACACAGGTCACATGCACTGCCACCCTATCCAAAGGCATTGATGACCTCTCAATTCTTTGAGCTCTCACTGGAGGGATTTTGTTGACAGCTCGGTTGTGGGTCAGCTAATCAATGTGATATTATTTGTTGACGGTAGCTACCCACAATTCCTTATCCAGTGCCCTCTGATGGGACAGTGGGTATGCAAGACCACATGGGTCACCACACATGGTAGCCATATGGCCTTGATGTGTCACCCTAGTCTTTGTTTTGTGCTCGGAGTCCATAATGGTATTCATTACTTAAAGTGTTCTTTATTATCATTCATTGTCATCAATCAAAGGGATGAGAACGATCCTCACATTGTTCTGAAACAGTGCAGAAGGCCAGATGTTGGCTTTCAGGTTAGGCTAATGTTACAGTGTTCCCTAAGATTAATCTGTTAATATGTATTTTTTCTTCTAGCTGACTCGAATACTTCACCGTATCCACAAAAATTACCTTGCAAAGACAACTCTGGTAATATCTATAGTGATGGGGAAAGTTTTGATATGACTGACTGTTCCTCCTGTATTTGCAACAATGGCACACTGAAGTGCACCTTTGAATCATGCCAGCCGCCAACGTGTCGAGAGCCAAAGAACTTTCCTGGTGAATGCTGTCGTCTATGCCCATACAGTAAGTGTTTCCCCTTCCTCCAAACACTCTGGATATGATTTTAGAGAGACAAATTTTGAGGTGAATACTTGGAAAAGTAACCCAGGAAAGCAGTGTTTTAAATCAACGATAATACTGTCTCAAAGTAATGCATTAATAAGCCTCTTAAAAAATATGAGGAATTCTCTACTTTGGTGACTGCTTTTTGCAATCTGTAGAAAATATTTTGGCTCCAAGAATGTCAAACCGTTGTGTAATTGGAATTGAATTATGCACAGCTGAGAGAATCACTGCACACCCACACCTTTTACTTGCAGCAGGTTATTTGTTGGTGTGGTCACAAAGTGGCACATCCAGTTTCATGTACTGTCTAACCATTTTTATTCTCTGCGAAGATGTGACCGTGAATGACGTTACACCAAGCATCAGTGGGAGTGGTATTGTCAGGGAGGGTCAGGCAGAGAATGAACTCTCTGTGAATTTGGATGTGCTGTATGCCAACACCAGAGAGACCACAAGTGTTACAGGCCAGGGCCTGTGGGCAACTAGATTATGGATCAGCAGCGATGAAGATGGGTCCAGTGAACTGTCAGGCACGGTGGTGGAGCAAGCCCTGACGGAAGGTCAGCAATCCAAGGACCTGTCCAAGGCTGGAGGGGCTACCAATTTCTACATCAATGACATCAGGTACCAATTTGACATGACGGGGCACACTTGCGATGATGCTAAGTACCTCTGCGCCAAATTCGACAAAGGAGAAAACCCCCAGCCGGCCAAGGACTTCTTACCATTTGCATTTGAAGCTAGGCCATCGGAGGATGTGCTGACTGGCTGCACTGAAATACAGAACTGTCAAGGTAAGGAAACCACTCCATATAACTCTATCACCTTGCAGTTAAATGGTCTGTTGTTTGCCAGTGTGTCATTTTCATGTGTTAAGTCATCAGCTGATCTTTGATACCTGCATTATATTCAAGGAATCTGAATCAAATGATCTTAACGTAAATTGAGTTTTCATTTTTTTTTCAACACATTTTCATTCTTTGACTTGTGTCAATTGTTATTGTAACACAAAAAAAGGAAAGTCAGAAAAAATGAAAAAGAGAGAACTAAAGTCAATGCGTAAATGATGAATTTAGACCCTGAAAGTAAATCAAAGACTTAGTGGTCAAATAGCCACGTTTGGGAAATGTCTTTTACTCAACTTCAAACTGAAAGTGTCATCTGCATGGAGCCAATCATAGAGGATTTCAAGAAGAAAGGGTTTCATCCATTGGTTTGTGCACTCCAAGCCATTTGCCGTGCTCGGACTAAATTTTCCATGCTCGCTCAAGATAATTTCGTGCACAGGAAATGTTCTGGAGTGCACTAATAAATGATTCTGCCCCTTTGAAGTGTTTGAAAGTGCACAAAATAAAATCATACCCATGATTCAAGTTGCATCTCAAATGTCCTTCAGGTGCTCTTTTTATGAGTAATTAACATCACAGTATTTCACTTCATTTCATGTTATTTTTCCCATGACGTCACCTCCCATGATCACCCGATTGTAGATTCAAAATGCACTTTCACACCATCCATTCACCATCGACCTGACAGTCTGGGGACTCAGGTCTTTGCAATAAGTATTGACAGGTTTTGTTTCACCTTGGGTATGTGTTCTAGAAACACAATTTCATGTGTCCACTTTTCCATTGTCATTTTGTTCATTTCGATTCATTAGTTTTCACATACACACAGGGTCGCCTCATGAATTTTGTACATTTTTGTATCTGTACTTCAACACGTCCATTCATTATGGTTCAACTCCATGTATCATGTCTATAATAAAAGATATCCGATCACAAATAATAATTTCAATTCATTTTCCACTGTCACTATGTTAGTGTTATCACTTTCCCATGTAATGTAGGAGATAAAAGAAACATTGGTCATTCTTTTTGTAGGAAGTAGCCCTCTTCCACATTTAAATGCACTCTTCATATTTTGAAAACTTTCACCTCCAAGAAGTATTCGCACTGACTAAATGCCAACGACTTTCATTCACAAGAAATTTCTTAAATCTTTAATGCGGGAAATTCACAGAAGAGAAAGAAATTCAAAAGACGATCTGCAGCAAAATGTATAAGTTCTTTGCCTAGAGTTTCTTTTCCTCAAGGACAATAGGCAACAGATTGTCTATTCTAATTTGCTCTGCTATAGCTGGATGCAGGGGCTTATCCCATCTTTGCGAATCAACCAAAGCGGCAATACTGCCAAGCCGTTTGACTAGCATCATTATCGACTGGTGAGTTTGATGTAAAAAAGACATGAGAACTAAAATGTTAAGAAAAGAAGAAATGGAATAGTGGAAGCATTCTTGAGCTACAGTACCTAGGCCTACAGAGTAAGTTTCTGTTAGGTTTTGCTTGGGGGGAAGTGCACATAATTTGCAACAGTACCTGCAGGAACTGCAGGTGTAGAGCCACGATACCGGTTGATCAGGCCATGATTCTTTCTTTTTCATTCCATGTGTTCATTGTACCAATGCCATTCATGTACAGTTGTTCATCTGTTTGTTTTTTCCATAATTCATGTTGGTTCAACTCATGTTCATTGAGATCTGTGAATCCATTCATGAAATTGTCAGTCCATTCATGAACCACAAATGGAATGAATAATTGTCATTGTTCGACATGTTCATTTTACTAATGTTATACTGGAGCACTATGATGACAAGTATGTAGCAGTTTTAATGTTTGATTCCTCTCAGTAAAAGAGGCATCTGTTTTAACGTATTTTCAGTTTTGATTATTTTCTCCTCCGTTTGTTTTTGGTTTCTTATGAAATGGCACACAAAATGTGGTTACGATTTTAGAATAACACATTTTTATATGAAAATTTAAAAGAAGCAGTTTAAGTTTTATGCCTTCAAATGTTTGTACTATTTCTGTTATGTTGATGTAGATACATGCCAAACATAAGTATCATGAAGTATGTTAGTATAATTTTTATTTGATCAAAAAAGAAACTTGGTCCAACAGCCAGACAACTTTTATCCCAACGTGTTTGCAGGAGTGACAATCCGTGGCTTAAGGGCCAGTGGGAGAACTGACAGTCTAGTGGTAGGCCGGCAGGCGGATGTTACCATCGACGCCACCGCAACATTCACTGACCAGAGCCGCGACATCGCTGGATCCGGGCTGTGGCGTTTGGGCATCTTTGGAAGCAAGAATGACGACGGCACAGGGGAGAAGTTTGACTACCAAAGCCAGACCCTGAGCGCCGCCCATCAGGCCCGACCTTTGACCCCTGGGGGATCCCGCGAGTTGACCTTCACCGGTGCCAAGGCCAAGTTTGATTGGCTGTCCGTGGGCTGCAACGATTTCAACTACCTGTGCTATGATTTCTCAAAGGGCCCCACGCCCAATCCCGATTTCTCATTTTCAGCTCTGCCCTCAGGTGACACAATGACTCTCTGCAATGAGCAGGAATGCAGAGCAGGTTTGTTCTATTTCATATTTTTGAAAAGTAACGGGTCTTGTCGCTTTTAACATGAAACCGAAAATGTGTATATTTTCAATCCACTTGTCACTGCTGTGAAGTAAGATTCCCTTGAGCTTTTATGTTGTCTTTGACATCATACATGTTATTACCAACAAGTGCAATTGGGTCAAATGCAAGTACTTTGCATATATAATGGTGAAAGTTGATTCTGGCACTGAAAACCTACATATATTAACTGCCAACCCCCACTAAGTGTACATGTACATGGGTACAGGACATGTGCGGTGAGTTTCAATGCAGTCATTGACGGTGTTTGGCTTGCTGGTGTTTATGTCTGACTGAAGTGATTAAAATTTCTTGAATTTGTTACGAATGTCCGTACATATACCTCAGGGCTGCATCGTGACCGTTTCATAATTTGTGGACTACCAGCACATTAGAAACTTTTTATCTTTTATGTTATTCATCATTTGCAGGAATTTAAATTGCTCTGTATTGTATGTGTATGTAATGTGTGCACCGTTTCTAAAATGTTCTTGGAAATTTAGTCTTGCATGGAATTCACTTCATTTATATCGTGGATTACTCTGCACTCTCCATGTTGCAGATCATCCAAAGCTTGCCCAAGAAATTTTGATCACTGTATAAATACCGGTAACTTAACATCATGGTATTGTTCACTGCATTCACCACTGCTCCATTCGTCAAACTGATTTTTTTTACTTACCAGAGCACATGTATTATGCAGCAGAAACCTCTAAGTTTCCTAAAGAGATTTAAAAGCTACAAGTCTGATATTTTATAAGAACATATACACCCAGCAAGTTTTCACTTGCACGAATGACACTTTGTTCAGTCAGTGTAACCTTTGTCAAAATGCATTGTACTCTCTTTCTTCCTACTGAAGTATTTGTGAAATAAACAAACTAATTATCCAACTAAACATCATTGTCTTGAGTTTGTTGTTCCACAAGACTGTAGAAATCATTCAACTTAACCTGTTTAGGATGAAATGTTCATGCCTGTCATGAAGCCATGTAGTACAGGATTCATGGGGAGTTGTGTTTGATGTCTTTACTGTGTGTATTAGTATTATTGACATTGCACAAGCAACTTTGATGTTATGTTTGTTTTTAAGCATTTAATTGTCATAGTGTTTAAAAGAATGAGTGGTGTTATTGCTTGTAATTGTTGGCAGGTCATTTAAAGTAGACGATTTTGTTTGATAATGATGAATGCCTCGATTGAACTTCTATTTACAGGAACCACAATATCCAGTACTAGCGCCCGTCTCAACAGTGGCAAGGTAGCGGATGGCAGAACCAGCAACCCCTACTCCATCTCCTACTCCGCCACAGGTGGCGGCACGGGCATTGTCGGGAATGGCATGTGGGCGCTGAGTGCCTACGGCAGCCCCAACGCTGATGGCTCCGGCAAGATGCTCGGGGAGCAGAGCCAGGTCTTCACCCAGCAGCAGGCCGACATGGACTTCCTGCCGGCTGAGAGCACCCGGCTGGACTATGGCAATGTGGACTTTAACTTTGACATGACGGGCCTGACCTGCGAGGATGTCAAGTACATCTGCCTGAAGCTGAGGAAGGGGGATAACCCCCAGCCTGACTTCACCCTGACCCCCGAACCCAATGAGGATGTCATGAGGAGTTGTGTACCAGCAGAATGCTCAGGTTTGTATTAAACAGTCCATAGAGTACCAAAGTGAATACGTCATGTGCACAATTAGTGTGTAAACGGCATTAGCCTGAGAACCAGCATGTGAACCAACATGCGCGGGTACTCCATTCATTTGCACTGCACTTTCTGGTTCACAGTGACATCACTATAATTCATGAGGAAGTCTGCTCTGAATAGAGGCAACCCTCATCAACAAAGAAAAAAAAGGTTGGGAGAAAAATTTCAACTTGGTGCGCAGTGCACACACAAATACATTTCAACAGAGAAACTGGTCACATGCATGTACAGTCCATATGTACACAGTTACTGTTTGTTATCTAGGACCTTATAAATTCTAACACACCTGTTAATTTACCCCTTACTTCAGAATTGTTGCTGTCCATGTTTGGTTACTCTGGTGTGACCTATACGGTTAGTGTTTTGGCGTGTTTTTGGCTTGGCGTGTTATTCTGTTTGCCCATAAGCGTCACTTAGCATTTTATCTGCTTGGTCTCAATTGAGATCCTTTGAAACAGTTTTTGTCTGTTTACATTCTTCAGGAGTCATTGCCGATCGATTTGACTGGAGTTACGATGCCGGAAATCCCATCCCCGGTCAGCAAACACCCGTCACATTCAATGCCGAACTCGGCACCCGGAGTGGTAGCCGAGACCTGTCCGGCTCGGGGCTGTGGAGGATGGGCATGTACGGGAGCAGGAGCCCCGATGGTGATCCCTCGGACCGCTTCGGCTACGTCAGCCAGGCCCTGAATCCAGAAGGGGCATCAACATCACTCACGGGTGGGTCCACCATGTACATTCGGAACCAGCAGACAGACTTTGACATAGGCTCCATCGGCTGCAACGAGTACGGGTACGTGTGTGCTGAGTTCACCAAGGGAAACATGCCTGAACCAGACTTCCGATTTGAGGTCAGTGGCCGGACTGACGTGAGCGACAACGTTCTGACATCGTGCAAGAAACAGAAGTGCTCAGCTCGTAAGTTAAATGTTGAATCAAAGCTTTGATTATTTCAATTAGAGAGTGAAACATGAGGTATTAAATGAAAGATGTTAAACATAAAGGTGAGATATGTCTTGTCTGACTGGATAAAAAATAAAATTTGCATTTGGTTTCATTTTAGGTGCTGTGTTCACCGGTTTGGAGTCCTCCATTAGAGGAGATGGTCCAGTCATTGAGGAGAAGCAAGACAATCAGTTGGTCATGGACATTACAGGTGTCACCGGTGAAGGGTCCACTAGAGTGTCGGGATCCAACCTCTGGAATGTGGGCCTGTACGGCAGCGCCAACCGTGATGGCCGCGGCCGCAAGCTTGCTTACCAGGAGCAGGTCCTGAGCCAGCCTCAGAGGGATCAGACCCTAGAGATGGACGAGGACCTTCCCTTCCCCAATACCCAAGTCAGTTTTGACATGAGAGGGCTGCAGTGCGTAGATGTGAAATACCTGTGCACAGAGCTGCGCAAGAATCGTGATGCTGATCCTGATTATACTTTTGATGCTGAGCCAAACGAGAGGGCCCTTGTTTCCTGTACTGAGCTTGGAGATAGATGCAAAGGTAGGCATTTTTGCAAAACTGAAGTCATTTTTGTAACCCATTATTTTCTTTTTGTACAGTATAACTCTTGCAATTGTTGTAGAGTCTTCTTGCTAAGCATGTTTGGCATCGTATGAAACAAATGATGATGTTTGGGGCATTAGATTTGACCCCTCTGTTGATTGAAGTTAAATTAGCTCTTTGTACTCAGCTATGCCAAGAGATCGGGGACAAATTCACAAACTTGAACCCATGACCTCCAATTCACCAGTGTAAACTTGCTTGATCACCTTGTTTGTTTAGGCAGTGGGAGGTGTAAATTATAAAGATATTAAAACTTCCCCCATCCTGCTCACCTTGTCCTTTGTTCAGGTGTGACAGTTACTGACATGGACTGGTCTTACGAGACTGGCCAAATGCAGTATGGAATGCCGACCCCCCTGTCCATCGATGCAACAGTGCGGACAACCCCGGAGAGCCGTGAGCTGGAGGGCACCGGGCTGTGGAAGATGAACCTGTTCGGCAGCCGCAATGCTGATGGTTCTGGCCAGAGACAACCGCAGCGTACCCAGATCCTGGATCCCTACAACCAGGCTAAAGCCTTGCCGGCTGGGGGACCTGTTCAGTTCAATGACGTCAACACCAGACTTGCCATGGAGGATCTGGGCTGCGGGGACTTCCAGTACCTCTGCTTGGAGTTTGAGAAGGGCGATTATGCTGACCCTCGCTATTCATTCCGAACAGCCGGTCCAGGAGACTCCATCATCAACTGTAAATCAGTGGATTGTGGAGGTGAGTATCAACCTCCCGCAGATTAGATTCAGAATAAGCTGGTGCTTAAACTTTGTGCAAGTGCTGTGTTGCATGTTTTGGTCGAGTGATAGTGATTTCAATCATGGAAGACTCCTGAAGGTAGTTTTATCAGCAATGAAAGGCAGTAACACTACATGGCAAATTGTTGATTTCTATTGTGTAAGTGCTTTATTATGATGGCCAACAGGTGTGTATGTGTCTGGTGTGGACTCAACGCTGGTTGGTGGCGATCTGTTCGAAGGCAAACCTGCCAACTCCATTCAGTTTGACACCCTTGTTCAGACTACTGATGAAAGCATCCCAATGGTTGGCCGCAACATGTGGCGACTAAACCTTTACGGCAGCGAGCGCCCCAATGGACAGGGCCCACGCTACAACCCTCAAGAGCAAGTTCTGTCTGATTACTTCAGTAGCCGGGAGCTTATGACTCCCGGAGAAGCTCTCACCTTCCAGACTATCAACACCGAATATGACATGACAGGGGTGGACTGCAGGAGACTGAGGTACCTCTGTACTGAGTTCAGCCGCAACCCCAGCTCCTCACGGGACTTCGAGCTAACCCCCGTCCCCAACGAGAGAGTGCTCAGAGACTGTATGGAGGTGCCTGATGACATGTGTAGAGGTAAGTCCATTTAAGTCTCGTTGAGAAAGATTTAGGCTGATGACCATGAATCACAGATAAATCACTTGCAATCTTACTTGGGACCCTTGGTCTAAGAAAACAAAACACTAGTTAGATTTTCCAAGCCATCTCAGAAAAATGATCTCCTTTGATGATGCCAGAGATTCAAGACAATTACCATACCCCTGAAGTTGTCATTTTCTATCTTCTGTTGTCCTATCTTCATTTAGGGAGCAAGTTATTTGAAGCATTTTCTTGTCATTTCAAAAATTGTCATCAGGAGTTGTTATTGACGATATGGACTGGAACATGCGAGTGTTGTCCGACAAAGTTGTCTCTGGTCAGGCATCACCGATTAGACTCTCTGTTGACGTTGAGCCAAGAGCGTCAGCAGGCAGCGCCAGTGGTGACAGCCTTTGGCGTGTCGGTGTCTTCGGCTCCACCAGGCCTGATGGCAAGGGCAAGCAGATTGGACTCAGGCGGCAGATCCTGAACCGTGAGCAATCCAGCCGGGACCTGACGGCCGGCGAGACCCTGTCCTTCCCTGAAATTGACACAGAGTTCGACCTGTCGGCCATTGGCTGTGATTCAGAGTTCCAGTACCTGTGTGTGGAGTATGCAAAGGGTCTACGGGCTCGGCCAGACTTTAAGTTTGAGAATGCTCGTGGTGGAGAGGTGGTGACAAGGTGTAAAGACCAAGAATGCCGTAAAGGTTAGCACATTCTTCTATTTCTCTAATCTGCCTCACGTTGAAGTGCATTCTGACCAGAAAAGACAAGAAAGCTTAGTGGGAAGTTTTACAAAGGTCTTATTATGCATGCAGTCACGCAGGCACATACTTGTAAACCGTACATTCATATAGAAATTAACTGGCATTGTTGAGGACATCCCAACATAGGACCATCTTAGCCGTTTCAAAACACCCCCTTTCCTGTACCAGCTCTAAGTGGATAGAGTACCAGTTCTTAGTTTGTTTCTCAAGTCTGATCTAATCTTTGTTGCTCAGTTTTCTTATTCTGTAAATCCTGGATGTCATCAAAAATGACAACCAAACCTTATCACTAGATGAAGTTCTGTGTCTCTTAGGATGGTATGTTTGTAGTTATCCCAGTTTAAAATTTTCTCCTGAAAATATTTTCCTTCTTTGAAGACCAAGTCACATGTTTCATCTTCAGGCTTGAGTTTTCTGTGGATACTGCTTTCTTGTACAAGTTTTCATAAAAAACAATTGTTCCTTTTACTTTTCAAGGGGTGAAAGTTCAAGGTTTGAACGTCCTTGGCAATGATTACTCAGTCTTGAAAGAGAATGATCCCTACAACCGGGTCATGTTTGACATGACTGCTGTCACCACCCCCGACAGCGGTGGGGTCTATGGTGATAACCTGTGGGACCTCACCCTGTTTGGCAGCCAGTTCGAGAACGGTGCTGGCCGTCGCTTCAATGAGCAGAGAGGGGCATTCAGCAACTACCAGCGCAACAAGGATGCCTACCCAGGGGAGGACATCGACTTTGGCATGGTGGACACCAACTTCAACATGAAGGGCTTGACTTGCAACGACGTGCGCTACCTGTGCGCTGAGCTGAATCAGGGCGCCAGACCAGACCCGCCATTTGAGTTCACACCTGTGCCCGATCGAAGCGTTCTCAGGAAATGCTTTCGTCAAAAATGTGATGGTATGATATTGTTTAGAACAAAGTGCTATTCAGTGTAAAAAGCATTGTTCAAAATGGAAAAGCCCTGCAATTTTTTCCTTTCTAAAATCAGGTAACCACAGTCAGAACCCATTAATGTTATGGTGCTGTGCTTTTCGACCAACACATCGAATTTGATAGAGTGCATGCATAAAATGAAAAAGTGCCTACCACATGCATGAGATTCATGTCTTAGCAATAGGCCAAACAGTGTCTCCTTATGTTTTTTCCTCTCAACTCAATTTGTATTGCCGTGTACTCTTTCTTTTGTGAAGTGTGTTTCGAGAGGTGCGCTAGTCACGTGCTCTTCATTGTTAAATTGAAATTAAAGTCAGTCGTTAAACAAGTAAAACTTTCTTCCAAGCCAGAAGGATTGAGTGTTTGGGATGAATATTTTTCAGCGTAATTAATTTCTTGCAATCTTCCAGGTATTACAATTGACAGTACCGACTTGAGAGGGGATGACTTTGACATCAGTGAAGAAACCACTGAGATCGAGTTTGATGTCAGTGTGACCTCCAACCCCAACAGTGGTGATGCCACCGGAGCGAACCTCTGGAGGCTGAACACCTTTGTCTCCAACTATCCCGACGGGACAGGGACTCGCCGCAACCTGGTCAGACAGACCCTGACCCCTGAGATGGCTAGTCGCGACCTTAGGTCAGGCTCGAGGCTGAACTTCAACAACCTGGCAGCCCGCATCAATAAGGAGGATCTGCCTTGTGAAGAAGGGGGTGGATATTTGTGTGTTGAGCTTTCCAAGGGGGATACATCCACTCTTGATTTCACATTGGCGGGATCACGGGAAGGTGCCTTGAAGAAGTGTCGAAAACTAAATTGTGTCAAGGGTAAGAGGCTAACGTGGCGTCCGCAAGGCGAGAGTGTCATCAGGTCACCTATGAAGATCTGAAGTGTTTTAGTGTATAAAACGTGTTCTAGTGTGACCACACTTTGTAATGAAGTTAGCACAAGTTTCAAAGCATTTGACAAATCAAAGTCAGTACGTTGATTGATGTCGATACAGTGTAAGTCATATTTCAGGTTGTCTGATTGATCTCTTTGATTGTGTTTGTGACTTTTTATTTATTTTCTTCTCATGTCCTTCAAACCTTCTTCGTGGATTGCTCCAATTTTAAAATGATCACAGCTGTCAAGGTAGGCCATTGGTATCTTTGTTTCATACATACGAGTAAAGTAATCATCAACATTTAAAGATAAACTAACTCCAACGGCATGAAATACGAGGAAACAAACTTGTTGTTGCTCAGTTCACTTGCAGTTATTAGTAGTGTTGTAGTCGAGTACTTTCCGAATACCAACGTTCTCCGCAAAATACTGAACTGGGTAAGAGGGAACAAAGTCAGAGTGCACAGGCATTTGATGGTAAATGTGCAAAGGTAAGATTACAAAATAAATGTTAGACTTCAGACACTCCCAGTTGTGTAAAATTCAAGTTTTAAGGAGAAAAGTACTCGGCCGAGTACTTTCCGAGTACTTTTGTCCTAAAAAGTTAATTTTAATCAAACAGTGATAGTCTGAAGTCATTATGTTGCTTTGTAATCTTACTTATATGCATGTACCATCAAATACCGATGTACTTCAGCTTTGTTCCCTCCTAACTAGTTCAATATTTGGTGGAGAACTTGGTTCTCAAAAAGTAATTGACTACATCACTGGTTATTAGTATCAAGCACTTCAAATTCAACTGACAGCAAATTTGAGAATCTATACCATACCATTTTGAACAAGCAGTTGAAATCATAAGACAAATCAAGTTTGCCCTGTAGAAAAAAAGTACTCATGTTTGTTGGTAGTTTTTTTTGTTGTTGTTGCAATTTATGTTTGTTGATAGTTTCTTTTTTTTCCCCTGGTTACAAATTAGCCCGAAAAAGGACAAAGGGGAGACAAGGGATATCCAGGAGAACCAGCTCGTGTACCTGTAAGTATACAGTGACGTTAAGAATTGTTTCTCCACCCTGATATGATTGTAACTTGATTGTTGGTCACCAATTGTGCAGCCTGACATGGCATCTGAAAAAGCAAACCACAAAATTGTCACTCCCATTCTGAAAGAAATGCCAATGCTTTGCCAGACCTCTTGCCACCCAAATCCAATGATACAGTGCCCATTTGTAGAAGATATTTGTTTGGGCATTTAGTACAAGTTGTGCAAGAACCAGTCAAAAAGTGTAGTCACATCAGGTTTAACCTGCTTTTGTCCTCTAAAGATTTGCTCAAAATTGTTCTGTTGATTATGTTTGAAGTGCCCCCGTTTTTGTCCTTAAGTAAGGAAATCATCGACAGGAACGCTGGATATTTCCAGCCTTCTAGATTTTTTACATTTTGGAAACAATAAATTGCGCTGTAACTGAAGGTAATTTTTCTATTTGTTTAACAGGATTTTCCCATGGCTGGTCCTCCCGGCCTACCAGGTGTTGCTGGACCACCAGTATGTAAAATTTTGCCTCCAAATTTGAGATTAATTTCTTTTTATTTGCTCACTCTTAAGAGCCCTGTCCCAAGGTGATGTAAAAAATTACATTGAAATCAGAAAGTCCAGACCTGTTGAGTTTCATAGATTTGTTTGTTTTTTGTTCCTGGGAAGCTGAGATTTTTGTGGGTTTTTTGTTTTAGGAAGCTGAATTTTTGTGAAGGGTTATTTTCGTTTCCATTCTAGATGAATTGATTTTTTAATTGAACTCTATACAAAAAGACAAAAAAGTATTGTAACAACAGAATTTAATACCTAACTTTGTGGTGTACTCAAGACCTTTCCTGTTCATCACTGGGGTTCAGTCGCAGTTGTAAGCTTTAGAGGTCTGCCACAAACCGCAGCATGAAACAGTTGAGATGTTCACAATCTGAAATTCCATTCTCTTCAGGGATTTAGCGGCGATAAAGGTTACCCTGGCCGTATGGGACCAAGTGGTCTCAAGGTAAGCTCTCACATCCGGTTTTCCCCCAGTCCCAGTTAGGGATGGGAGTTCATTGTTAAAATCATTTGTTTAACACATTGTGCATGTCCACTGGAACACACTTGTTTGTTTTCTGGAGGTACATTTATTGACTAAAGGTTCATCTGAACCAGTGATACACTCTGTTAAAATTCATCCATTCATAATACCAGGGTTCTTATATAACACTTTTAACTAAGATCAAAGTGCTTTCCAATATTACCCCTGCTCACTGGGCCCCTTTAATCATTTCAAATATCATCTTGGCTCCGTGGGGAGTATACAGCTCTACGAAGCCATTTTGGCACAAATCAGATAAATCAACCACAATAACCAACTCCGCCCTCACAGGTACCCAACTGAATGCCTCATTGATAGAAAGGCCCAAGTCCACCATTTTGGCTTAGGAGAGTGAATTGATGCAACTCCTTCAAAAATATTCATTTTTTTGCTCTGAACTCAAAAAAAGGGTTTGTTAGAGTTGGGCTCTTCTTCCAATTAGATGTTCAATTGCTCCTGGGTGGGGAGAAGCAGTGAGTGACAAAGTGCCTTGCCCAAGGGCACTCACACCATGACCCCAGGCTGGATTTGAACCTACAATCTGCTGCTTTACCCGCCAACTACAAATTCAACTTAATTTCATGATTTTTACAGTCGGCTGCTTCAATCGAGGAAGACTAAACGTGGATTTTACGAGAAACCGAGTGTTCTTGTACATCTTGAAGTCAACCAGCAAATAGTAGTTTTTATAAAAGAAATGCCTTTGCTTCTATTGAACGGTATGCATTCATGACATTCTTGACAGGGACAAAGAGGTGATCCTGGACTACAGGGATATAACGGAGTGGAAGGTCCCCCCGGACCCCCTGGACCCCCTGGCGAGGTAAAAATCATAACGTAGGGGCTCTTATTATCCAGCAACCAGACTTAGAGGCCATTACTAGAAGAAGCTTGCGGGTTGTTTCTCTCTCCTTGAAGGACGTTCTTTGTACCAATGTGATGCTTACAACTTGCCAGAATATGCACTCAGGCTTCAACTTAAGAATGCGTTTGTCACAAGAGAGTGTTCTCCTAGTATGAGACACATGCTTGCATTAAATTACTCTGTAAACAAATCTGACTCGCAAAGCCCTCAGTCCATGAGAGTTAGTTCTGTCTCCAGTGCTTAACAATGGAATTATGACAGACCTAGTCGCCAAAGACCGAGTCGCCAAAGACTGGATGTGTTGTGAGTAAAGCAAGTGTCCTTTGATTAAATGAAGTTACATATACACATGGATAATTCCCATGAGTACAGGTTTCATTTTGACAAGTGTAACTACATACGTGTAAATGATGTACAAAATTTACTGGAACAAAGGGCACTGCAACACTGCAAGAAAGCCAAATTTCCAACAAGGAAACAGAATTACAGTACATAATGTTATTGCGGCATCGTTTTAATCAGGAATTGAACTACATTGAACTGAGTGACCAAGTGGACTTTGAAGGTCCTACAGTAGGCGGTGTCAGCATTTAAAATTGTAACTCTCTTAAAGTGACCAAATTCATTACATTCTTAAAGGGAAAGAACATATTAATTTTTCTTTGATTAATGTACAGGCGCTCGCCCCAACTTATCAGCAAGGATATTATGCCGGCAAGGGACCAGGTTACGGATATGCGGCTGGAGGATATGCACCACAACAACTCATCCAAGTGAGATGTTCTCTTTGAGTAACTCAAAAGATTCACTAGCATGAATAAGCTGGTTGCTTCAAAAAGTGGCTGAATACTAAAGACAATATGGTTGGGCAAATTTTGCATTCGGCACAGAGCAATATTTAGGAAGGATATGGCGCAAGGGGATCAGAATGAACTTTTCTGGTATTTTATTATTAATATTCATACAAAATTGGAACCACCCAGTTGGCCTAGAAACGTTGAATTCTAGTTTGGTCTTGTGGGATGAAATTCATAGGGGCAAACATCCTGTCGTCTTGGGGGCTTTACAATTACACCACTATACAGCAGTAGCATACTCTAGGATTATGACCAGTTACATTTATACAGTTAAGAATTACTTCCTTTTTCTTTTGTTCTTGCTTTCGTCTTTGTCAGGGACCACCAGGACCCCCCGGAGCTCCGGGAGCCCCAGGACAACGTGTAAGTTTGTCATGTTCACAGCATGTCACTTAACTTGTCAAGGGTGAAACAAACTCGTGTTAAACTTCGGAGAGATAGAACTCAAGTGTGCTCTGTGTGAATTCCTAAGGGAAGACAAAGCTGAGGGTGCATGGCATCTGAACAGGTCCTTCTTTTCCCAAGTGCCCAACCTGGATCACCCCCACACACCCCTCCAATAAAAAAATGCCGTCAAAAAAAAACTGCCTAGCTTGATAAGACAACCAAAACAAACCAAACCTTACTCCATGACTTGCACTGATCAGTTCAAATTTTGAAGTAAAACAACTCTTCTGTTCTGCCTCACCATTCTGGATTTATTTGTTGACATAGGCAGCACCTCTAAAAACACTTTCATCCCCAGTGACATTCCCCTCAACTTTCAGCGATTCTCTGTCTTCAGGTGTCAAGTTTTCCCTTCAAGTCTTGTATCCTTAATGTGCAAGTGCATCAGAATAGTTTATTACATTACGCTCACAACAAACAAAAAAGATATCCCTTTGTCTTTTTTTTTTAAATGTGTAAGCAAACTTGCATCTTTCATTATTTCGTTATTTTCTCCTTATTAGGGTGCTCAAGGACTCCAGGGTGTTCAGGGAGACACTGGAAGTGTTGGTTCACCTGTGAGTATCCCCACAGCTGCATTTTACCCTTTTTCACCCTGTCATCCTGTTTTTGCTTCAGACCTCGATATTTTGTGTTGTAAAATGTTTCTATGGGAAGTGTCATGTAGTCTTGTAATGTAAAAGGAACTTGCCTGAATCATTGGCATTGCCATTATATTCACATTGTGTAAAAATAATAAATTGCTACAAGTTTTTTTAAATGTTCGGTTATTTAGTACGTTTGGGATGGGAAACCATTCCTTTCAATAGGATTGATTCTGTTTCTTGATTTGCCATGATTTCAATCTGGAAAATGCTATTTAAGGGAAGCCAGATGTGCAGAATAAACATTGAACCTTAGAAGTGAATCAGCCATAAAGGCTTTATGCTACATGCTCACGGGCATTATACCATTGCTACTTTATTCACGCCCCCTTTTGAAATTCCTGGATCTGCCCTCGTGAATGAAGTGGGGAATTCAAACGAAATTTGATTATTTTCTCTCCAGGGACCTTCAGGACCACCAGGACCACGAGGTGAAGATGGTGATGACGGCAGAGACGTAAGACCTTTTTTTAAATCTTGTAATTAGAAGAGTCTGACAAGTCATTGTTATTAGACACCGGCTCATCTGAGCAAAGTTTAGTCAATAATTTACCAAAGGTGGGAAAGAGTTATTGCTGTTTGTCGTAATATATTCTGTGATCTTATTGCCATTTTGATTTTCTTACTCAAATCATATTGTTCGGAAAATTAAGAGGACAAAGTACAGTAGTACGTTGGTACGATGATGCTGATTGTGTTGGTAAGTCATGTCTTTGTCGTGATTTTCCTGAGGTTGAAACTGAGATGCCACTGAGTAAAATGTCCCTCATTTTCTTGCAGGGAAGTGACGGTAGCTCTGGTCCAATCGGCCCTGCTGGAGCAATTGGAAGACGGGTAAGGCCTTGCAGCGAGCCACTGGGGAATTTTCTGAGCCTTTAAAAAAAAAGAGAGAGTTTTAAAGTGATCAGAGATCTGTACTGTTTTGACAAATAGTGAATATTTCACATGGGTAGTTATTTCGAAGAGGTACCATTTGCTCCTCTGAGCGTGTGTTGGTGAATGACAAAAGCCAATTTTTCAGTTGTCGTCAATTGGAAACTGGACGATGGAATTGTTGAATTCCACGGTAGGTGCTGAACTACCACTGATCACGAGCATGAATTCTTATTGGTTTACAGGGTCCCACTGGCTACCCAGGAAGACCAGGCGCCCAAGGACACAAGGGATGGAGAGTAAGTCTGATGCCTTGTTTTTGGCATTACCATTGTTGTGGGAGCTATGCATCCTCAGCGACGATTTCAGGTTTTCAAGCTTTGGACTTTCTGTCCAGTGTCTTGGATGCCAACGCTTTCACTCGCCCACAGTCATTGAAGTAAATAAAATCCAAGCATAGGAGATGCATGTAAAAATAATCAGGTAGAGTAGCAATGGAAGTTTTTTGTTTTTTTGTGACCCTAACTGTCCTGAATCCTCCGATTTAAATGTGATTTTTACATACACCCTAGGGGGTTAGGGTCAATATTACCATTGTTGGTATTTCGTGCAAAAGAATGGATGGGTTAGGGAAATAACTCTTTCAATCTTGAACGTATGTCTGTTGAACATCATGCTTTAAAAGTCGGCCATGCCCTTATGGCTGTTGTTACAACCGAGATGGATAGATTGGACATCAGTGAAACTGTTCTTTTCCTGTTGTCATTCAGAGACTCCTCGCCATAAAGCCGGCCAGTCATTATTTGCAATTTGCCTTTACAAGTGTGGAATGCAGTGGTGGCAAGCTAGCTGTGGGTGCACCACTTGTGCAGAATGTTACATTGTTTTTGTTTGCTTTCTGCAAAGGGTGCTCGCGGCCGCAAGGGAGCACGTGGTGACACTGGTGAGGTTGGTGACGGCGGGGCCAGTGGAGCAGCTGGAGCCGCTGGAGCCGCTGGAGCACGAGTAAGTCAGCCAAGAATTTTCCACTCCCAGCGGAAACGACAGAGGGCATGCTTTTGCATAGTATCGGGGATCTTTTACAAATGGGCATTAGTTAAGCATATTTGGCGCAGGATGCAGCAAGCTTACGCGATATCTGTTGGAAGGCATTGTGTTTGCATGTGCGCAACGCGTGAAAACAAGCCTGATGGAAAAACGTCTCACTAGCCTGTCTCTTCTCTGCGGATGAGGGGTGTTTTCAACATGGGGCGGTTACAAAACCCATGTCAGCAAATGCATCATTAGTGGACAGTTCATTGTCAATGGATCCCTTGATGTTGCTTCACGTCAAACTTGAAACTTTTTCCTTTTCTCTATCAGGGTGAGCGCGGAGTTCAAGGAGAGAGAGGGGAGCGTGGATCTCGTGGAGTTGCTGTAAGTCTGACAGTTTCGCCATTCCTTGTTGAAAATATAAGTGGATTCATATGCATTCTTCAATTAAATTCCTTTCCAGAGAATTTCATGATCTTCATTCGTTCCCCCCCCATTCTTCAAACAGGGAGTCCGAGGACAAGACGGCAGTGATGGTGATATTGGAAATGCTGTAAGTATTAATTTCTAGTGTCTTCTTAAGTCATGTTGGACGACTTTCATTACAGTGGGACTGGGTGCCATTATCCTCAAAATCTTGTTTTTTTAGCCACCCCAAGGGAAAGGCCAAATAAATCAATGATGCTTTTTATAGTTGAAAACTGAGTAAGACTTTCACAATCATTCACTAATCCTCAGTGTACACCTCCAAAAAGTTTTGCTTGTGAATAAGATATAATGTTAAGTTATATTTGATTCACGACAAACAATCAGTAATATTTGAAAGCTAATAGAACAAGCTGACTCACCTGGACATAAATACTCTTTTCAACCCAATTTCCTCCATACCTTCGAAAACATTCCATCATTTATATGTACATGTAACACACTTCAAACAGTGTGCTACAGGTCAGAGGACAGCCGTGGCAGACAGACATGTGCATTTCTGCAGGAAGGTTCATCCAAGTGACCTGTACATGTTGTCTCACAGGCAATGTCATCAAATACAGAATAGTAACAGAAGTCTCTTGGTTTTATAGGGACCCCAAGGAGCCACTGGACCAATGGGCGCTATGGGAGCATCTGGTGCCAAGGTGCGTTTGATTCATTATTGGGTTTTTTTTGTTTTTTGTTTATTCATAATATTAGTAAATCTTACTTAAAAATCAGTTCTAAGGTCAAAATCTGGATAGAAAATAGACACTTCTTGTAAATTTATATTCCAAATTTATGTTTGAATGAAAACCTTCATTATTTACAACAGGACTAGGGAAAATGAGGTCAAAGTTAGAATCAATCAGGTTTTATCAACAGATGATTGTTAACCTGGTAACTTTGATGAGGCCCACATAAGTCTTGTAAGTACTGGTATATCTTCACATGCAAATGCACGTGTGTCAATCTTTGAAAATTGTCTTTCTGGCACCAGGCTACTAACTTAAATATTTATAATTTGCTTTCTAAGTTTTCATATTTGCAGCTGAACTTAACTGCAAGTACTCCATACTCTTTTGTTTGGTGTGATCACATTTCATGCTTTTTTTCTCACCTTCTTCCAGGGAGATGCAGGACCTCAGGGTGATCAGGGCATCCAAGGCATCCAAGGTCAGGCTGGTGAGAGCGGCTCTGATGGCGCCCCTGGTGCAACCGGTGCTAATGTAAGTGCCTGTTCCCAGAGAGCTTGTTTCCTGGTGGCCATTTGGGGGGGTTGGACAGAGATTATATATCGATTGCAAACGCAGCTTCGATCAGCTTTGTGGTGAAAAAAATTCCTTTTTATGATGTCACAGGTTAGGTGTAGTACAGGGCCCAGGGGGGACAGGCCCCATCCAGGCGAGCAGCCCCCTTCCTATTGACTACAGCCATAATCATCAAAATCATGTATTGTACCTGTGATGTGTCCCATACCTGGCACTGTGGTCCCCCATAAACCTCTATCAATGGGCAGCCAAGCTGCTTTTCTCCCATTCTAAGCAACGCAAGCAAACTAAGGCTATAAGGAAATAATAGTCTGTTCCCTTTTATCAAGATGTAAGTTGTATAACTGTTGCCAAGGGTCTACATGGAACTAGACAAACATGGCAGCTTCATCATAAAGGTCTGTGCTGGAGCTGGTTCACGCAGGAGTGCAGTATTGTTAATATGAGTAGCATCATCAAACACAGCCTTATAATCAGCATAAACTGAGTTTTGGAAGCAACAGATAAAGTGTCGATTTTAATATTGAGTTCTGTCCATAAACTGATGCATGTTCAAAACACTGTACACCTACTGTTTGTCAAAGAGCTTGTGAATAAAGTTACAAGCTCACTTACGTGGAACTCGAACCCATGACCTCCTGCTTGTGCAGACATCTTAACCACTTAAAACCGGCAAGCTTGCAAGGGCTGATTAGCCCGTCTGAGTCGGATGTAGCAGCAGGCAACCACAAACTATTTCAAGGTATACTTTTTTAAAGATAAAATGTCGCTTTAAGAGCATTTTTTTGTTGTGTACTATTTATCTTGTCTCTTTTTCCCCTTGTTCATTTTTGCAGGGAAATGATGGACAGGATGGTGCTGCTGGGGCAATCGGTGATGTGGTAGGCATTGCCAGTTTGATAATCAAGTTTCTTTCGTTGTAGTGAAACTATAGAAATTATTTATTGCTAATGTCTCCATGGCATCTTGGAGGCAATTTTGTTATGTCAACTTAATTACAGTGAATGCACAAAAAGTTTGCTTGAGCCTTTTCCAGTGATACAAAACTATTGCCCCCTGAGGATGCGTTAACACATAACCCCTGTTTCTCTTTTGTTGCTTTGATACAATGAAAATCTGTTTCTCAAAACAAATGTTATTGCCTTTAATGACCATTATGACTGTTGGCCATGGCCAGGATTTTACCTAAAGATTCATTAATTACAAGTTGAAGGCTTTGTGAAATCTGATCTGGTGTGGAACTTTCAAGAGGAATACCACAGTGTTCGTTGTGTCTTAAGCTTGCTCGGTAATTCCTCTTGACAACAAAATTACGAAGAGTCCCAGAATTTTTTCATTGCTTAGGGAATCTTGCTGGCATACAACATTGTGCCCTGAGAAAGACAAGGTCACAAAGGCTGATTGCTAATTTGTTTTTTCCCCTTTTGGTTTCTTAACAGGGCGGTGCTGGTGGCCCTGGCCCTGTTGGTGCACCTGGAGCTAGGGGACCTGCTGTAAGTTAACCATTGTAACTGACAAGGGGCTAGAAATGGCTCCTTAGAACCAGCTCTACTATTTTATGTAGATACCCGCAACAATGTGTGTATTGAGGAATAACAGAGAATAGTTAGTGACTGAGTGCTGTGACATATTTCCTTTTCTTCTCATGTGAATGGGCTTTATGAAGGAATTTGACAGTTTAAATCATAGGATGGTAAGGTTTTTTTTTTAATTTTTTTTAATTTCTGGACTGATTTTTTTGGGTTATCACCAGACTGGTTACAGCAGGTAACTGATTTTAGAATGCTGTCAAGGTTGTGTTAAATCAACCCAAACACTGATGCTTAGATTAGAAAGCACCATCATATGGAGTCATTGGTTTATATAAAGAATAGGAATTGTCATAGTATCAAATTCAGTCTTTGTACTTTTCAAAAGCAGGTTGTTAATTTTTGTTTATCTACCAATTTTTTTACGTTTTGTCTCTGTACCACACAGGGTGCCCGTGGAGCCACTGGACCCGGCGGTGAGCCTGGTGGCCAAGGCTACCCTGGACTGGCCGGATCTCGTGGTGCTGACGGTGCTCGTGGTGTGACTGTAAGTTTTGGTGCTTTAACCTGTTGCTGGATTGACAAGTGTCTGGTCAGGGTTTGCATTTGGCTTTCCATTTTCCCCTTGAATTGTGGCTGTAGCCATGATGCATTGCTACGTATAGTTGTGGGGCTGTTTGGTTGGAGGTTGACAAGGTATGATACTTTTTTCCGAGCCGGTTTTACTTATGGATTCTTCTGATCTTTTGCCATATCAAAGTGTTAAATCAGAAGAAACAAAATCGAAAGAAACAAACGATCAGAGTTGACTCACAGCTGCACTGCAGTGGTGCCAAATCTATCTCAAGTGGCTTTTTGGGGGGGGCACAATTTTCAATTACAGTTTCCTGAATTTTTTTCTCCATAAGTATGACTGTAATTCCTTAAGCAAAGACCTTGACTTATTCTTGTGAGGCTGCCCGCATTGGACCAAGTAGCAAACTGGGTAGTTGGAAGTTCTAGTCCCTCTCCAACCAGTTTCCATTGCCTTCTGTTCGTAAGGGGGTGGGGTAGGCAAAGTTTGCAGGAATACCACCCTTGGCTTGTTGCCACAGCTTTTGTCTGAAATGACTGATCTGTCCCATTCCTTCCTGTGAGGGCCTCCTTTTCACTGAGCATTTAGTCGTAGCATTCATCAGCGTTTGATAATTTCATGATTGTATCTTCTCCACACTTTCTGGATTGTTCCGTTGCACTGATGGCTGGCAAATTTTTACTTGTCGCAGATAGGCAGAAACTTCAGCTGTGACATAGCAAGAGAAAGGTTTATTGATAACGTTTCTTGTGTGTGGTTTTAGGGGGCAGCCGGAATTCGTGGTGAACCTGGTCCCGACGGCAGTGAAGGTGGTGATGTAAGTATATTCAGAAGTCCATGACCATTGACAAAACATTATGTTACTTTCCACCGCTCAAGTTTTTATCAATTGCCAGTGCAAGCTCAACTGTGTTTGCCAGCGTGCGACATACAAGTAATCTCCCTTGTAAATTCCCACATGAAATGTTTGTTATACCTAGAATCCAAACACTGATATAAATACAAAGGTCATATGAACCAGAACCTGAACACTGGCATGTCAATTGAAATATTTGACTGTTGCTAAAAGGAAATCGTAATTGAGGAACAAGTATTTCATTTGTACCAGTTATTGACGACATTTTATCTAACTTTCTTCCCGTCTAGGGTCCTGATGGTCCTGCTGGTTCTGCTGGTCCCCGTGGACCTGCTGGTGCCCGTGTAAGTACACTCAGATGTTTTTTAAGCCCTAGTCGTATCTACCCAAAAGTTTTTTCAAGTCCACTATTTTGTTGATTGAAACTCTGTGTTTTCTGTTTTTTAACAGGGAGGTATCGGCCCTGGTGGACCTCTTGGGCCAAGTGGTGCCATTGGTATACGAGTACGTTGATCTTCCTTTTACATTAATTGGATTTGCCTTCTTCATGTCACAGTTTGGTATGATAGCTGCCACGTCGATTCAGAGGAGTTTTACGGAAGGGAAAGTTGCCCAATAAATATTTATAAGAACAAATTCACCAGAAAACCAGTAACAATCATTTGGAACTCTGGTGAGGGGGCAGTTTAATAAAATTTGGCCATTAACATGTTTCTATCCGCAAATTGTCGGCTGTATTTTGTATATCACTCACCAATTTTTTGCCCCTACTGTTTTTTTCCTCCGCTGTTGGTTTCATTGGTGGTAGCATTTATTTGGGATTGCTGTTTTGTTTTCTAGGGTGATGTTGGACCACAAGGGGCAAGAGGTGCTCCTGGAGAGAAGGGAGATGCGGTGAGTATCTTTTCTCAGATGTCTTATATCTGTCTTGTAAGAAAACGGGGGGGGATCTTTCCTTTAAATCTCTGCAGTCAAGCAGTGCTGAGTTCCATTACAAAACAGCAACGTGCCTCTGTTTTTATTGGAAGTTAATTTGGGGTGGAGGGTATGGCTTGGACAATTTAATTGCATTTTAGACACTTGTGCACTTTGTAGAAAAAAAATTGAATTCTGCATTCTCTTCTTTCACCAGGGTGCTCAAGGACGTACCGGTGATGCTGGCGCACCTGGACAAAGGGTAAGAAACAAATAGTTGGTCTTATGATTTCAAACCCTCAGCCACTGGTAACGCAACCTCATTTTATGTAGCAGAAGTTTAAAAACCGTAGGTTGTCGCATCAGGAGCATTCCCCAGTCTGTCAGTGCCTTCCTTCCAGCTCATGAAAGCGTAGGTTGTCACATCAGGAGCCTTCTTCAGTCTGTCAGTGCCTTCCTTTCAGCTCATGTGCCTACATTCCAAGAGTATCCACTTCGCTCAGCCATCAGGGAGATATTGAACCGGAAATGCTAAAAGTAATCCATTTTTTTTACATCAATGTTGTTTTCACTTGCAGGGTTCTGCTGGATCCAATGGACGTTCAGGAAATGACGGCAAGCCAGGACCAGCTGTAAGTATTTTCATCCCAGAGAGTCATGCCAACTTGTAAAACGCTTGGGCCATTTTTTTACGGAAAAGGGCAGTTCATTTCCCATCCTTCAAAAGATCCATATTTGCAGGGAGATTTGTCATACTTCGGAGGAATATACTTTATCCCTAATAATTTATTTTCTACTAGTCTTTGAAATAAAGAATAATTTGACTTTCAACTGTCATCAATTGTTTAAGTGTTTTAATTTTATTGCCCTTTCCTTCCTGTTGGTTACCCAGTTTTCTTGGTAACCATTCATCAACCCTGATAACAAAGATGCCTACATTATTTCCTCTTCAGTTATTACAATTTTCTTATGTTTTTTCCCACAGGGACCTGGTGGAAGTGATGGAAGACCAGGACCCCCCGGCCCAAGTGTAAGATTTTTGCACTATTTCAAAATACCTATCACTTGGCAGAAAACAAGAGCCCTTTCTTTACAACTATCTTAAACATGTATTTTCTGCATGTGTGATGTATCTCGAACATTAGTTACGTGCACCGTCGGATAATTTGTGATTGTTGCACTTGTGTTGTCACTGCTTGGCATGGTTAAGCTTCATGTAACGACCCTGCGTTTGTTTTTTCTTGATCTCTTGTGTAGGGATTACAAGGAGCTAGAGGCGCCGTAGGTCTAGCTGGAGCCCCAGGAGCAGGCGTGAGTAGTTTTCCCTCCTTGAACTCAGATTTTAGTTGGTTTAACACAAGCAATTTCCTTCCATACCCTAGTCGAGCCTAGCGGCTTGACCAGCAACAGCCACTTCATGCTGTGAATGCATCGTTCTGTCAGGACTCTGTGTCCCTCCCTGAAGCAACCGGTGAATGAAAAAGGGTGGGTGCAGGGTAAAGACAGAGGTCTCATGCCACTGTCTATTCACGATGATGCTCAACCAGGAGTTGAAGGGTAGCAGCCGCTGCTTAGATTTAGTAACTCGCGATTTTGAAGGTCATGAAATGATGATCTTGATTACCCGTCCTATGTTGCAGGGAGAAGAAGGGAGGACCGGACCTGCAGGAGCCACTGGACCAAGAGGCGCTGCTGTAAGTTATTTGTATCTCTCGGTAGAATATGCTAGATTTGTATTATTTTTAGTTAGGTGACAAGACATGTTTTCGTTTAATTCATTGGAACATTTAGGGAAATCCTCTCTCCTTCACCATCTTCCCAGGAAAGTGAAATACAAAATACAGTATGCAAATTGCGAAATTGTGTTCTGGAGAGTGGTTGATTGAGGGGTTCTTGTTGAAACTGGGCATTGTATTGAGAAGACCAGGCTTGAGGGAATAAGTTTTGGTTCTTATGGTTCTGATCCTGCCCAACCTTGTTTGATCTGTCAGGGTACCCCTGGAGATATTGGACCTCAGGGCCCAGCTGGACCTGCTGGAGCTCAGGGTGCGCGTGGAGATGCCGGACCACAGGGAGGTATCGGACCTGGAGGAACCAACGTAAGTTGGTCTGTCTTTCCCAGCTGCATGTCTCATTCTGTGTCACCGTTCGATGAAAGAATGCCAGTTTGCAAAGCAAAAGGTGGCAGAGGTGGATTTCAAGACCCTTGTCGCATGTGATTGAGGTCTGATCCCTGTATAATGACCAATTATATAGCTCCTAAGTAGCGTCATCATCAGCCAAGTAAAGAATTTGAAGAAAATGCTATGTCATGTGCATTGTGTTGGATCAAGTGGACCTCTGAGTGACCCCAAACTTAACGCTTCTTCTCAACAGAGCTGCATTATGTATAACAGATACATACACCCGTATCACATCCTGGATTTGTCTGTCTTGCTTTTCATTGGTTACCTGATAGGAAGGAATTCTATGAACAGCTGCCCTTGTTGAAGAGAGATGGATACGCTTACCCATTTTCTCTTTGCAAGTAAATCTCAGTAGATGATGATAATAACAACAACATTTGTAATGTGCTTCCCACAAGGTTTCAAAGCCCCATTCTTATCCCTGCACATTAGGCTCACACATCATCTGAACAATCCTGAAACCATCTCGGCTCCCTGAGGAGTATACTAGCCCAGTGCTGCCATTTCTGTGCAAATGGCTAAACATAATCTTGTCTGCCCTCACAGATGCCCATTTACTCCTGGGTGGAGAGAGGCACATAGGGGTAAAGTGACTTGCCCAGGATCACAACACGCTGCCACCAGCTGGATTTTAACCCCTGACCCTATGATCAGGATCTACAAACCCTAACCACTTGGCCAAACGTGTGTTCAGTTTGTATATATCTCAAATATATCCAGGGTGGAATAAAGCAGTGTTTTCCTGCTGTAAATGATGCCATATGCATGTGTGAGGTGTGTTGCGATAGTACGTTAGCTGGTGTGTCAAAGAAGCATTCCCACGTAACATCACCTGCCACGTATATTTGAACACAGTCGTGTTGTATTTTTCCCCCTAGGGTGGAGTTGGAGCACCAGGTCCACGTGGAGCCCAGGGCAAACGCGGTGCTACCGGTGTAGCTGGACCCCCAGGACAGGGTGGACCACAGGGAATGGCTGTAAGGACAATGTTTACTTAATTTCAGAAGTCTCACCTCGTGCTATTGTCTTTGGTTCCTGCATCGAGTGATATCATTTGAAAGAAGTTAGAGTAACCGTATGTGTTCATTTTTTAGATTTGTAAAAGATTTTCCAATCCAAGAAATCATTTGTCTCAGATGGCATTCACAGTCTGGACATCAAGGGCAGGTCTGATGAGGGGACTGTGCCACAGGGTTCAGGCCCCCCCCCCAAAAAAAGGAGTCAACAAATTAAGAAATAAAACACCTGAGAGAAATGCAGTTTTTTGCTATATTTCATTTCTCTTGTCTTCCCGAAGCATATAAAAATCCCCAAATGTAGCCTTACCCCCCAGTAAAGCCATAAAAGGTCTCATGAAAAAATTTTCCCGATTTCTGGGCCCCCGCCGTTACAGTTTAACCAGAAAACAACATTTGGTTCTGGATCTGCCCTTGCTGGACTTACTTGAAGTGTTCCTTTTCAAAAGCCTTTTTTACACTAAAAGTTTCAAAAGAGGAAATGACTGAGATCTCAATATATCCCTGATGAGGCAAAGTACAAAATGTTAGGCTTGCAATAACCCCTCTTATTAAAACAGCAAAATATCTGCTTTGTTTAAAATCAGGTTTAGTTGAAAGGTCAGAGGGAGAGTGCTAAGAGGCTTTTTTTATTTGCCTAATTTTCAGGGTGACCGTGGTGCTCAAGGACCAATGGGCTTGGCTGGACCTACAGGACCAGATGGCGACGCTGGAGCTGATGGACGTGATGGACGCGATGGAGAACCAGTAAGCCTTATTGAGTGTGCATGTACTTGAAACAGAACGATTGCATTGTGAAGCCAGTCGCCAGGTTTCAAAGACACCGTCCTCTCGTGTTACTTGGTTTCATTGCTTGCTAGTGTTTTTCACTTTTTAAAAAATTTTCTGGACAAATTTTGACCCGACTGTTGACTCTACAGCTTAACCTGTAAAAAAAATTAGCCTAATGTGTACCGAGTTTAATAATGTTAGACACATTAGAGAAAAAGAGGAAGAAAGAAATCAAGAAATAATGAAATTTTTTTTTTTTTTTTGCCTTTCAGGGTGACAAGGGAGCTGCTGGTGATGTTGGACGCCTTGGAATCCCAGGCCTCCCTGTAAGTCTGATAAACAACATTTGTTGTTAACACCACACTACTGGTACTTTTGACAGATGAAAAAAAAATGGATCTTTTACAAGCAGTGTTGAGAGAGCAATATTTCAGCCATCTTTTAAAGCCTTTGTTCAGGGTGTTGCATGAAAATGAAAAAAAGAAAGATGCTCATTTGGCCAGAACTGCTGAGGGTTAAAGGAGTGTACATGCCTTCCCCAAGACATTCATTATCTGTGAATGTGATAAGATGATTTTTAGGACAGTGCGCCTTCACGCCCGTCGTTCTCTTTTTCTGACAGGGAGCCCCAGGAGACCGCGGTGGTGTTGGAGCCATTGGAAATGTGGGAGCGCCTGTAAGTAGGAATTTTCCAGTTCTCATGTTGCATTTTGGGTCCATTCCAGGAATTTCATTTCATTTTCCTTCCTGCCCATGTCGATGATGATGATATATCATTGTGACCGGTTTGTGTGAGCCAATTAGGTGTGGGTGGCAGCAAGTTTTTGTTTTTTTTTCATCAATGCCAACTTTTGTTTCTTAGGGTGCCAAAGGAGCAACTGGTAAGCGTGGACCATCCGGAAGTCCAGGATCTAGAGTAAGTAAACAATTTTTTTGACTAAAGGATAGATCTAAAAAAGAGAAAAATACTGATTTGCATAAAAATCTGCAGGTAATATTTGATCAGTTAAACATGTCTACAAATCTGTGTAGCACTGATTTCATATCTTAAAAACATGGGCAGAGATTTCTTGTCACATAAGGGGGGGGTGTGATTGCAGAAGCTCAGCATGGCCTCCATCCCAGGTGAGATCGTGTTGCCGGCAAGTTTGGAGTCGATGGTGCAGGCTAAGAGTGCGCATAGTCAGTGGCTTGAATATTGTGGGCAGGTTAATTATATTGGTAATCCCTTGTGAAAATGTGGGGGGGGGGGTGTACACCCCATCCCCCCAGGATCTCTGCCCATGCCTAAATTGTGATGTGCAGTCAAACACTACACTTCAACACTTGCATGCTGTGTTGCATGTACATGTACAGTGTACATTCAAAATTAGTTTAGTTGCATCTTCTGTGTAATAATATTTTTGAAAACTTCACAATTCTTCCTGTTTCAAGGCCTAATTCTTACACAATAGGAATTTTCCTTGCTATGTTACTCTAGGGTCCCTCTGGTCCCCCAGGACAACCAGGATCCCAAGGTCTGAGGGGTGAACCTGTAAGTAGAGCATTTCCATACAATTGTCCTTTGTTTTCTTGTCACACTTCTCCTGAGGACGATGAGAGCATCCTCATTGAAACATCAAGGTTTTACTCGTAGGTTCTTTTCAGAACCACCAGACTTCTAGAAGGGATCAAGTCACATGGCACACCCGCAAACCTCTCTTAGTTATTACACTTTTTTTTTTCTGTTGGCGTTTGTGAAAATTCTTGACTACTGTATCTCATACATGTGCTCCCTTCAAACGTGGTGAATTGCATCATTGAAGTACCGTCATCCTTTTGTCTATTCCATCTTGCATTTCAAATTGTCTTTACAGAGTTTCAAACCTTTGAAAAATACTTTCCAGCTGTGAATCGTATTCTGAGGCAAACAAACAAGTGGTTTTTGTGTCATTCGCTAAAAAAATTGTGCTGGCGAAGATAGAGAAAAATGGTCTTCATTACATAAACATGTCAGTCATTTAGTGCATTCATACACATACGTGTTGACTAAATTTGTTATTTGTCCCATTCAGAATGTAACAGATAATCTCTGGATTTCTTTTTGGGTTTGTAGGGAGGTACTGGGCGATCTGGAGCTACTGGTCCCCAAGGATCTAAAGGGAACCCTGTAAGTGTTTCAAACTCTCAACAGCAAGAAGATTTTTCTTCTGAAATATCTCTCATATATATGATATAACTTTAGGGCCTAGTGCATTGCTAGGTGAAGTAACGAAGAAGATTCATCCCTCGATTTCAAACTCAATGTTGAGATTGCATCCCTGCATGTTTCCCAGAAGTGACAAAGATACCCAAGTAAAAACTTTAACTGTTTCCTTCTTCAAAATGTGAAATACTTCATGTTATAGTTAGTTTTCTACAAATACTTTGCAATTTGAAGTATCTCAACTATTGATTTGTTCAAACCAAGTAAAATGAATTGAAATTCTTTGTTAACTGAAGCCCTTTTGACTGCCTTTTTTACTACTTGCATTGTGGGGAATTACTGCGAGCATTCAGATAGTGACGCTGCTTCAAGAGTTCTAAGTTTTGCAAAGTTATTTTCTACTCAGTTGATTTGCGTTGTTTTGCTCCTTGTAGGGTGAGAGAGGGAGACAAGGTGATCGCGGAGCCCAAGGTATCCCAGGAGGACAGGTAAAAATTATCACATCCCATCTACAAATTCCCTTTTTCTTTCATTTCTTATTTCTTATTTTCTTATTTTGAGTTAGGATCAGGCAAGCAGTGTTAGTTTTAAATCGTCGCGGCATCTTCCTCAACCTGACATTTCTGTTGTTTTATTCACAGGGACCACAAGGAGCAGAAGGAGCTCGTGGAGAGAAGGGACCCAAAGGAAATCCTGGTGATCAAGGAGTCCAGGGATCAGTGGGTGCTCCAGGCCGTACTGGCGCTCCTGTGAGTAAATCCACTGATACAATAGACTGTCCATTTACCTGAATATAGAGGTCCTGGGAAAATAGTTGAGGTGGAAAAATGGCCGTAACTCCCACACAGTGTAGCCCACACGTTTTTTTGGTCTACTCCCAATTTCAAACTTTCATTGCGTATCATCGTGTATTTTTGTACCCTTCACCCTGGATTAGAGACTCAGCTACCGTTTCCCCACATTTCTATTGGCTCCCTTTTTCTCTGAACTGTTTCTTGCCTGAATTTTCAGGGAGCCACAGGAGCCCAAGGAAGCCGCGGAGATGTCGGTGAACAAGGAGCAGTGGTAAGTAACATCTAAAGGATTGACCTCCCTTCACTCCGTAGCCAGGTTTGTGTCCTTGTAATTGTTAATGATAACAGTGTTTTTCTCGGTCTTTGGAAGTCCAGTAAAGGTTAGCTTGTCATTCAGAAACACTTACGTTTCCTGTCATGTATGGAGTCACCGAACCAACCTCGCCACTATTTTGCATTCAACAATTTAAAGCACAAATGTGTGACACTTGCAAAAAAGGCAGGAAGCGTAACTTTCGCTAGAAGAAGATTTCTGTCGGCATTTAAAAGCAACCGCTTTTTCTGGTGTATGTCTTTATTGGGTCTTTTTTGGGGCTCTGAAAATATCAAAGTTTTGTGCTTTGAATATTTCAACATTTCCCAAACAAGTGGCATCACCTCTCCGAGTTGCACTAAAAACCACAAATGACTTCAGCACAAAGAATGTAGTGCCTTGAGAAGTATAAAATCAAGACATAGTTTACAGTACCTCTTCCTGAGATATCCCTGCTTCAGGAGTTCCTCGCCAACCTGCTTAAACATTACAGATAAAAGAGAAAAATCACTCAGTAGAGAACCTCTTATTTCCGTAGTTCCTTTTCTCTCCCTTTTTTTGTGATAACACATCGACATGCCAATCAGTTTTAACCGACCTGTTTCTGTCTCTTGCATCCAGGGAGCAGGAGGACCTTCTGGGCCCATAGGTATGCCCGGAGCCACTGGTGCCCCTGTAAGTAAACTGTGCAGCTGATCGTTGAACTTAATTCCAAATCACTCACTTCTTAGCCAGTGTGTTTTTCTTTTAACTTTGGTAGTGTTACTGCTTTAAATTAAAAAACTGTTGTTGAATGGTCAAATGTACTGGTTGAGATCATTCAGTCCACAAAATGGGTACTAACAAGAAGGCTTTAATAACGTAAAATCTAATGTCTTTTGCAAAATTGCAACCTTGTTTCAACTTGAAAAAAATCTTTCCTCATACTTGAAAAAAAATTAGGGATCGAGAGGAGAAGTTGGACCCCCAGGACCCAGTGGCAAGCTTGGAGCTCCGGTAGGTAACTTAAGTAACCAGTGAGCAAAAAAACTTTGAGAAGTCAGTTGTTACAGAGACATTTGTTTGTGTGAACAAAATGCATCACGAAATGACCAAGAGGGAAACAAGAGCCCTTTTTGTAGCTCACCAAATGAGTATCTATCACAGGTGTAGTCCTCAGCACAACCCTGCCATGCATCTTGACTGCACAAACCCTGACAAACTACTCGTAGATCACAGCCATGTTTTCAGAGTCCAATTTTCACAGATAAAGGGATACCACAGAGAATAAAATTTCCCATGTACTGCCTGTCATCTTGAAATTGGACGAAATCAATATTTCAAGAGGACAAGCCGTCGGAAATTATTTTAGAAAGGTTCCAGCAGAGTCCTAAGCCCCTCCCCCCAAAACCTGGTGATGCCCATGCTAGCAGGCGATAAGAAAATAGGTGTCTCATCGTTCACTAATGTGTCTCGCTCCTCACCGTAGGGTCAACGTGGTGAGACTGGTTCTTCAGGCCCAGCAGGTATCCGTGGTGCTGCAGGACCCCAAGGACCTTCCGGTGCACGTGGTGACGACGGCAGGAATGGAGCTGATGTAAGTTAGCCAGGCTCAATGCCTTGTTGATGGGTCAATAGAAAGCAAGAATTCATCGTGCGACTCGCAAGTTTTTGGCCCATGGCAAAATGTGCCTCGCGCTGATACAGGGAAACGTCACAGTGTTACAACTGATGCAAGAGATTCAAAGAACCTCACAGAGAATCCAAATCTTATATTAGCTTCCTTATCCTTTAGGATTTCTAAACTTACTTTTGATACCAAAGTTTGAATAACAAATTGCCTGGCATTGACATACTGTGAATTGCTGCATTTGATCAAGAGGCTGTTAAAAACTCTTCTGAGCAAATACGTTAAGGCAAAAGTATTGTACCATCATTCGAGCCTTGTTCGAACTAATACATGTATACACAATTTGGAGCTGCGGTACAGCTTGAAGTAGTGATTGACACATTGGCTTTTTGGCTTTATTTTATTGGTTCAAATCTTCATCATTTCAAAAAAATTTGTAACCTACAGGGAGCTCCCGGCCCTGCTGGACCACAAGGCCCATCTGGTATCATCGGAGAAATTGTAAGTATCCCGCTGTGTTGAACAGTTTGAAAACAACACTACGGTGATCTCCTTTGTGGGGGGGGGGCTGGAAAAATCACATGAATGGGCCCAACAGACAGACTCTGAATCAAATTGTCACAAGTCAGAGTCTCGAGTCATGTCACACAAGCCTCTCAAATGACTAGTGAAGGTAGCATGAATTATTGCCATTCTCCAGGGTTCCCAGGGTCATGGAAAGTTGTGACAAACCCTGGAGAAAAGTTGCCCTAAAAAAGTCAGAGGAAAAAAGTCATGGAAAAAGTCATGGAAATCAAAATCATGCAAGGGGCATTTTTAACTTACATGTTTTTATGCTGTAACAGAAGAAGGGTAAATTTACAAGTCTTGGTGTTATTCTTTAGCAGTGACTTTGGCAGTTATCCAGCTTGTGACATTGAATGTCATGGAAATTGTCATTTTGTAGTCCTGGAAAGTCCAGGAAAAGTCATGGAATTCATTTTTTATCAGATGTCTTGGGACACCTGTTGTTCATCCTGCAAATTTGGTGCTTAATCACTTCGTGCCGGGGCATTTTTCAACGTTGAGGATGCTGGGCCGGCATGACTATCATTTTTTCCGTTTTCAAAATCCTTCAACAATTCATCATTCCATTTAACAGTCTGTATAGCCGCGCCAAGTAATCTGTAGGCACTAGTCTAAGTTGACAGTTGACCTTCATTGACGCCTGAATATTTCAGCCAGGCCTGCAGCCTTGTAAACAGAGCCCAGATTGTGTGGTGTTATACAACTGTCTTTTGTTTACGAACCTGGCTCAGTGCACTGCTGACCTCTTTCAATAGGGGCCAGATTAGCATGCAGCTTTGCTGTGTGGCTCATCGCTGCTGTGGTGGAGAGCTTTTGTCCCCTGTGGTAATCCGTTTGCTCTAAATACCCTAAACCCTGGTATACGGTTTCAAAA